ATATCGGAAACTGAAATTGACAGTCAGACATTTGTAAGGATTTAGTTTAAGGCCGCTAGACGAAGGCCATTTTCTAACTCCTGATAGAAAGCTGTTCATCTTAGTACAGTTAAGCTGGGAGTTAACAGGCGTTGAAATGGTTCGATCATCGGCATAGGTCCAGGGATATCATGAGTGAACAACTAGAGACGCATGATTTCAGAAATGTTGGCCCCAGGCGCTCCTGTGTCGTAGGTGGGAATACGCTAACTTCTACTTCACTATCAGCCAGGAAGTTTATCCTAGATTTGTGATCGGTGACGAAGAAGACGCGACAAGGGAGTGACTCGCTGCCGAAGTTGATGGGCATTACTTGCCGAACGGCCAGTTTCAAAATTGCGGTGGAAGGGAGCTAAATTCTTGGTTGTGGGAGGACTTTCAAGTTCTTTCGTAAGTCTTCACAACTCGCCATAAATTTGTTTGATATTGAAAGTGGACGCGTCACTCGTGGAAATGAGGTAGCCCTTAGTTGATTTTCAGAATATAGTGCTGGAAAAATGTTTGCGGAGTGCCTTTTAGCCCACAGAATTCTGTCATCCGCCTCCACCGATTCTGTCAAAGTTGACTTGCGGAACAGTGCGAAAATTCCCTGTGCTGTCTGAGGTAATGTCTGTAACCACAATTGTTTCAGGAAGCAGTCATCAACAATGAAATTAGCAATTAACTGTTCCATCTGACGGATCAACTGTGAGGGCTTTAGACAATCAAGTTCAGCATCGCTGAGAAGTTCTTGTGGCTCTTGTCGGTTGGTAAAGGCTGCTACCTTCATCAAGGCCACTTTTACACGACCCTAATAGCTCGAGGATGGATCGTGAAGAATACGTGAAACGTCATCTATTACGTCTCCAAGAAGGCTCACAATGAATAAGTTAGCAATAGTTTCCTATGAGCACGCAGCAGAACGAACTGTGATGTAGATAAGCTTAACTATGCCAACTCTACTAGATGAAGTTTGCCTGGTTTTCGATAAATCAGTACTCTGCTTGTCTTGTAAGTATTGATGACGAGACTCAAATTGAAAAAACTTATAAATAGTAATGTGCTCTTCCGAGCAGTATATATGTGGATAAGAAGTCTAGATAATTCTGGAAAGACGGTGTAAAAACATATCACGCTACTGATAGAAGACGTAGTCGAGCTCCTCTAGATAAATTACTAGGAACGCGGTAAATCATCTACGTATCGACAATAATAGACAAGTTGATGGGGTAGCCATGGGATCACCTCTGGGCCCTTTGCTAGCGGATATTTTCCTGGCAAAGCTTGATAATGGTCCACTCAAGGACACGATTAAGGAGCTTGACTATTATTGTCGATACGTAGATGATACCTTTATCGTTTATGATAGAAATCTTAATAAACAAGAGCTCCTGAATGCCGTTAATAGTTTTCACCCAACTATTCAGTTTACATGAGAAGAAGAAGACAATAACAGTTTACCCTTCCTTGACGTCCTACTTACCGCGAAGACAGACGGATATCTACAAAGAAATTTATTTAGAAAGAAAACTTGGACGGGTCAGTACACCCATTTCCATAGTTTCACACCGATTCAGCATAAAAGAAACTTAGTTAAGTGTCTTAGCTACAGAATAAAACGAATATGCTCAGAGGAATGCATTAAGGAAGAAATGCATAAACTAAAACTCACACTGCAAGAGAATGAATATCCACAGAGCTTCCTAAAAAAGTATATGTCAATACATATAGACAGGGTAAAGGTGGATACCGTAGACAAGAAACCTTTGTATCTTAAGTTACAAAGGGGAAATTGCAGCTGACATTCTAAAATGTCGACTCAATAGAGCAATAGATAGAACATTTCATGCAGCTAAACTGGTACTAAACTTCTCAACTAAACCAGTACTCACACAGCAAGTAAAGGATAAATTACCAAAGATGGCCTCATCAATGTGCATCTATGAGTTCAACTGCTCATGTGGAGCCAGTTACATTGGCCGTACTCAGAGGGCTTTATCCATGCGCGCGCGTGAACATGTACCTGTATGGTTGAGTAAAGGAGTAACCAAATGCATAAATAGTGCAGTCTTAGCCCACTCGATAGATACTGGACACCCGATAAAACTTGACCAAGCGTTCTCAGTTATTTACCGCGTTCCTAGTAATATATCTAGAGGAGCTCGACTACGTCTTCTATCAGTAGCTGAAGCGGTTGCAATTAATACCAGAATTCCAACTCTTTGTATACAGAACAAGTATGTTCAACATATATGTTTGCCTTGGCCTGTAATAGAGTCAACAAATCCTCCATAAACATTAACACTATAAATTCCTATCACAATTTTCTTTTCTTTTATTCCTCTGTTTCATTGACAAACGTCCACTTTCGACTTTTATGATTTCATGACCTTTCTTATCATTTTATTGCCTTAGGTTTAAATAGTGCTTTTCTAACTTGCTATCGTATTTACAAAATCCTGTTCATTCCACTTCATTATTATTATTTGACAATCATTCACCAATAGTACTTTTAATTTTGCACCATATCATCGTTATTATTATTTTACAATCATTCTTATTGGTGTTATTTCCAACCTTGAACTTATGTCTAGACCGCCCCATTCGTTGGTTTATTTTCATATTGTCTCACACACCCTGATTATACTCACTCTTGAAACCTATATTTTCTGTTGACTATATATATATATATATATATATATATATACATTATTAAATTAAATTACTTCATCTCATTTTGTCCCATGTTCTCATTGACCATGCATATTCAAAAAACCAACTGACTATTGTTCTATCCCATCTTACTTATACATGTTCCACAATATACTTTCTGATATGATTCTAATTCGCCTTCACTGGCTGGCTATTGTATGCTTAAATTAATGGATTTATAATTGTAGAGCCTGAAGAATTTATTAAAAACAATTGTTCGCTCTAAATATTTTGTTCTGAATAAATTATCGGAGTATTTAATTTACAGAAATGTCCTTAATAATGTTTACAGCCAAGATGATCAGTTAATTTGATTGAACTACACTAAACATCATAAAATAAACATTTTAGGGATTTTTAATTGTCAGCGCTAATGCGGTGTTTGTTGTGGTAGTGTGAGTAATCCTGCATAATACAAAAATTTTAGGATGGTGATAACGGTGTTCACAACCAAGATTGTCAGTTTAACATTGCCGAACAAAAAAAAACAATCACAAAACTAATATTACATGATGGTTAATGACAGGACAATTTTGTAATACTCATAGTGATAATATAGTCGGGACCAGTAGATACACAAAAGAAGGAATAGAATAAAAAATAAGCCAATGATAATAATTTTAGGTAGCTAAGTATGTTTAAGAAAGTTCTTCACTATGGAGTACAAATAAGAGAGTATAAGGGGGAAATAACAAGGGCCAAAATTATGTTATTAACAACAAAGTAAGTCGTAAGTTTCGTGCTTAAGATTGTCTCTGTCACTTAGAACACGGGCCAAATATGGTATCGTTGAGTTCCTATACTTGGTTGTACGAGCATATATTATTTTGTACTGATTTCTGGTTCTACCTGATGAGATACAAGGAGAGAGTTGGGAATACAGAGGGTGTTGGGGGTCGGAGAGTATGGTTCTAGACCATTTTTCGCATGTATTCAGATGCTTATCTACTAATGTAGTGACGAGCTGACTGAGTTTTACACCACTAGTCCTACTAACTACCTTCAACATCCTTCTCAGGATCGTATAGTCCTTTTTCAGTAACCCAGGGAAGACCAATGGGGAGCAGTAAAGTAGAATAGGTAAGATACGAGAGTTGACAAATTGTGAAAGCAGAGGTTGAGTGACTCCAGTTAGTTTGAGTTTCTTAATGTAGTAGGTTAGACGAAACAATTTCTTAGAAATCGTTTGGATATGAGATGACCAAGTAAGGTCGGAAGATAGAACTAGTCCGAGTTATTTTGTATTAAACTTAGTTTCAATTTTAGTCCCCTCAATGCTACAGTCTTCATGAGTGATTACTAGTGTTCGTAGATGTCGTTTATACCTAAACGAGAACGCAACTTTTAGCCATCAGAATACTAAAATGATATCAATATGTTCAGAAATTGTAAAAAAAACACCACAGAAATGCCAAGCTACAAATTAACGAAACAGCCACAATGTGCCTCAAAGAGTAGCCTGTTGAGCAACTACCAAATTTTTCTCTTTCCAGTGAGTTCTCATTGGCCGTAATGGCATTTATTGCCATCACCGTTATCATTTGGCTTCTTAAACCAAGAAGCGTATACAACTATAAAGACATATCACTTATCTCCTGAAAGACTAACCATCGGCTACTCAATCCTGCCTTTAATTTACAACCATCACCCAGACGCTACATTCTGTAACTGTCCCTTTACGTACGCCGCAGTAATATGTGCATTTCCCTGAGATTATTCTTCTTTTCAGCTTTAAGAAACTATTTCTCACTCCTCCAATCCACTTTTAGGGATATAAAGGACTACTTATGACAATCGCCATCGTAGAACACATAATCAGTCTTGCTCGAAACATGTAAGTATTTAACCACCACCTGTGTTTGATAGGTGAGTGACTAGACTGACTGCATCACAATCCAATTTGTAGGACTAAAATCATTTGTTAACATCATGAAGATCTTGCTAATGAAGTCATATCACATAAGAACTCCTACAATGAAGGTTTTGTCATCATACGGAATCGACTTGCTTGTATTTACTCAAAATCTTAAAACGTACCCCTCTCGGATAATAAACGTTTGATAAACTATAAACAAAAATAAATAAAGACAGGCAGACCGTGTATGTATTTATATATTCATATAACTTCAATGTTTATATAATAAAACAGAACTAATAGGGTTATTAAAAAAAATAAATAAACATTTTGCATGAAGGAAGGATATACAAAACAAATGTATACAAGAGTTCGAGAATGAATGTCTTCTCCGAAATCCACAATTAATTATTATTCATGGTTTCCAAAGCTTAACCAAGCCATCTTCTGAGTAGGTGGCAATCAGATTTTGATGAGGATGATGTGCACAACCAATAACTTCTTTTTCATGAATCTAAATAACAAACAGAAAAACACGACACACACACACATTATGCCTGGGACTGTATAAAAAGGTATAATAAGCAAATATCATAAGACAACGAAACATAGACAGGTATTTGCACTAGACACTGAATCACACACACACACACACAGGATGAAGAGTTGTAATGTGCTTGTGTTACCTGCATCAATTTCGATGGGTATAACAATGTTTTATTCTATGCTCTTGTTAAATGAAACATAACTACAGTAAGCATGAGAATTCTAAGTAGCTCAATACCTGAAAACTATGGTATTTTTTTAGTAATATAAACCAGTAAATGAAAAATCCTCCTATTGAAATCAAAACAAGATTTTGAGCGAACAATTGTGGTTTCGATAACTTCTTCAAGCACTGCATGAATAATAGAGTACATATAGCCATACACATAAGACCAAGAGAGACACACTAAGTAAGAAAAAACTTTACTTAAATGTACAATTCAAGGTGGTATATTAAACCATAGATTAATGAGATCCATTGAAATAACTTTTAATGCCGAAAAATTGCATGTCAGTTTCTCAACCAAACCGATATTGACACTGTGCATTAAAGATAGATTGCCGAAAATGGCGACACCAGCGTGTGTATATAAATTCAACTGCTCCTCCTGTGGAGCTAGTTATATAAGTCGTACCCAAAGGAATTTATCTTTACACACTCGTGAACATATTCCTGTTTGGCTTGGGAAAAGAGCAACCAAATCACTAAATAGTGCAATTCTGTGTCATCTAGTGGATAGCAAACACACCATCAAAGTAGATGAGTAGTCATTTACAGCTGTGTGTCGAGCACCGAACAATCTCCCCCAAAGGAACACGATTACGTCTCCTAGCCAAAGCTGAGGCTTTAGAGATTAATAGAGAGAGACTAGACCTATGTGTACAGGAAAAACTTATTCACTCTCTTTGTCTACCTTGGCCCACTATAAGGTCAACAGGATCATAATTTTTCGTACTATTATTATCATTTTGTGATATCATGTCTTTATTATCCATTTCACCACTCAGTTTATTTCACCTCATTGTTACCCTTACTTTTTGTCAACCTTTATGATTGTATACTAAGCCAACCAAATCTGTAACATCTTATTACAATTTACAATTTAGCCTCTTTATTTTATCATCAGACATTATCGGTCAGTCCTCACATTCAGTGTCCCCTTTGTTAATGTGTGTTTGCATGTATTTTGTGGTTATCGCATTTCTCTCACCTTAATGACACTTGTATTCCGTTGACTATGAAACAACACTATATCACCCAATTGTTCATTCATAAATGTTCATCACATTTTTTCTGACTATACACTCCCTATACACACTTAATTGACTATGCTAACTAATGGACTATCATCTCAACTTACACATGCACCCTAATACACTTTCTGATATTATTTTTGATTTGCCTTTATTGCCTATATGTACTCTATGATTCATGGATTTATAACTGTAGAGCCTTAAGAAGAAGTTATCGAAACCACAATTGTTCGCTCAAAATCCTGTTTTGATTTTAACATAAACCAGCTGAGAAGCGGTTAAATGGTCTAGAAAATCTTTGTGTTTTTAAGAGAACGGTTAAGCAGTTATTACTTCCGAGATGTCCGAACCACAGGATCCGAGTTCTTCTTGAAATACCACAGAAACAGAGAGAGAGAGAGAGGATTAGTGATTCGTGATTTCAAAAGTCAAGGGACAAATACCTGAAGCTGGTCACACACATGGCATATTTGGTGTAGTTTTTAAAGCATGTTGGAGTGCAGAAATGTTGAGTTTAGCCTCTTTCAACCCTTTCTCAAAAGGTGAGAAACCAACATCAGTACTCACTCAGGGGAAGTACAGATTATACTGTTACAAAGCTGTTTGTTAACAAGCAGTACCACCTAGCTCTTGGTTACTCAATATACTGTCAACAAAATTGCATTAAGATGCTAATCATTTTTACTCCAACTGCAAAAAAAAGTGACTATTCCAGCATATTAGGACCAACAGGAACATCTGTTTCAAGCAGTAAGGCTAGTTAGTTAGGTAGGTAGGTAGGTAGTTACGAAATACCAGCTGGACCATTATGTCAAGATAGCAGATATCAATCGGCCTATGGATTGAAATCTTTCTCAGTGGTTCATATCCCATTTAATCATATACAAACAGACTGACTGATAAGTAAACACAGATGTCAAAACAAACAAACATACCATACAAATAAATGAAAAGAACAAACATGTAGAAACATGAATGCGATTGGAGAGAATAATTAAATGAAGACAGGCGGAGATGTTCCTAATTCCTAGCAAGATAAAAAGTGAACTTGAGTATTTTTTTTGCTCTCTACTTTTAAGTGCACTTCATGAAACAAGGCAACTTGAATTGATGGGGTTTCCTGGAAGACTGTAATTGGAAAATTCAGCTGAGTTTACTGTATGCACTACGCGTATGTTTCTGTCGATCTAACAGGAAAAATGAGAAGTCGTAACCAGTGAGGTCCATCCACTAAGTCAGGCTAGAGAACAGTTGGTCGGCTATAGCATTGACTGAAGGTTGAGCTACATATGTCGCGAATTGGCAGAAATTGGAATTCATGGGCCATTGACTGGGTTCCAGTGACTGAATAGTCTACGAACTAGCCTAGTAACTGCAAGGTCCAGGGGTCCATAATCCATTGGATGCCTACTGCTAAAGAGTACCAAAATAGGAAGAAACGGCTTCCTAGTGTGGTGAGAGCAGGCCGTGAGAAAATATGAGCAAGGCTGATTCAACAACCAATCACAGCAACGTTAACGTGGCAAAATATGATTCGCAGATAGAGAACTCTATTTGTCGAGGAATCCCGAAACAACCAATCAGAAGCCTGCGTTTGTCTGCCTAACTTCTGATAAACAACCAATCAGATGACTGCGCTTGTCTACTTGCATAAGCTATAATAATGTATGTGAAATATGTATAAATACGTGTTGATTTTCATAATAAAACGATCTGTTGCCTGGCCCTTGTCTTCTGTTGTTACACTAGTACTTACAGGCTTTAAATGGCACCCTAACTGATAAAGTCAACTCATGATCAAACCTGTAACCAACCAAATCCCAGCAGACCAAAACTTTATGCTGGCGGGAAAAAGATATCGGCGGATACAAGATATCTGGATAGAGGAGGCTGAACTGTAAAATTTCCAAGAAATAATATAAAAATTCGAGGAATTTGTGTAAGTTGAACACCAGTGTGATGTTTCTTTTTCTACAAATATGTTAAGGAGCATTGAAATATGTTCTCTGAATATGATTATTTATCATTGTTTCCTTTAGTTCCTAGAGGAATATAGGGCTTCAGCCGCACATATCCATCACCTCCGTTTTCACCTAGCCCCATGTCTGCCCACATGCTTTCATCCCCTCTTCACATCACCTCTCCTCCAACTCACCCTTGTACTGACAACCAACTGGCCGCTTCCCGTTCGGGTTCCAATCGAGCAATGGCTTGTCTAGTGATGTCACTTAATGGTTTCCTCAGAGTATGACCAATCCATCTCTATTACTTTCTGCTTATTTGTTGCACAATCGGTTCCTGCTGGTTTGGTTCGCTCTCAGAGATCCCTGTTGCTGATCTTTTCTGGCCATCTGATCTTGAGTATTGAGCAAAGACAGCTGTTGATGAAGGTCTTTTCAAAGTGCTCTTCGTGACGCACTGGCCAAGTCTCTGATCCGTATAGTAAGTGGCACTGACTTCACATTGGAGTTGAGAATCCGGATCTTATTTTTCATGCTGAGTGCTGTTGACCTCCACACAGGTTTGAGAGAGATGAAAGTTCGCCTTGCTTCCTCGACCCTCATTTTGATATCCTCGTCAGTTCTGCCCGTAGTTGAAACGATTCCTCCCAGGTCGATAGGTGAAGGAGATAGCTTCTTTAAGATTTCTCCCACTTATGCTGATTGTTGTATGTTGTTGCTGTTGGTGTTGACCAGGAATCTTCATCAGCTCTGTTTTCTCTATGTTCACCTGAAGGCCTATCCTTCTCTGGATACTTCTTCTGCCAACTTGTTGCTTTTCACTTGTATATCTTCCAGTTTGTGGGAAATCAGACGTACATCATCAGCGAAGTTTTCAGATCCATCATCTATTGAAGCAGAAGCCCAGATATTCTGAATACTATGTGGCTCAGATTTGCACCCAATGACTTCGTGCATTGGTATTGTAACTTGGTCTGCTCATCTGACTATTTTTCCACCTCGTCCCATTTCACTAATATCTGTTAGCTTTGGCATTCTTACAACTGATTTTAAGCATTTCGAAGAATTCAATCAAACAGTCTACAACGAGTTACTTCTTGTTATTAAATGGTTGGAGGTCATAGGCAGGAAGTTTTAGGCCAGGTTTCGTGCTTGCTGGCACTCTTCATCAAGGCATATATATTCAATCTTGAAGGAGCTCATGTCCCCTCTGAGATTCAAACCCGCCTAACCTGGCCACATTGTAAAATTAACTGAAAGACTTCAGTCTGCAGCAAACATACGACTAGATGCATAATACTAATTACTAGCTGGTGTCATATCAAAGTATCCACTAAGGTCGTAAAAGAGATCGATAGCGAACCCGAATAACTCAGTGGTAGCGTTTCTGACTGCTACATCGGGTGACACGAGTTTGAATTTCAGAAGGGGGCAGGAGTTCCTTCAACGTTGCAGATATACCTAGGTACAAGACTTCCTGTCGATAGCTCCCAACCATATTATAACAACAATTTACAGTCACCTAGCATGATAGCCACATTACAAAGTTGACTGATGGAATTCAGCCTTCAGCAAAGACAGGACTAGCCAGACCAATTACACTTGTTACTGACTACTGTCCAGTTAAATGAGTCACTCATCAGATTGTGTCATATCTCTCAAATTCGATCGCATATTCAGCTATATTCTTCCGATAAAGTCAGTTGATTTACACTATACAATGCATGTATGTCAGACTATTAGATGAAATTAGCTTCTTCAAAAATAGAGAAACACGAGTTGTGTAAGAGAATTAGTGTCATCAATGCCCAGGTTAAGAGTTTTACACTTCACTGTACTTTGTTATGTGTAGATCGCACAAATAAGATGGATAAAGGCTTAAAAGGAAGTTTAATTCACAAGCGCGTAGAAGTGTGATCAGTCTTATAAAAAGGTGGATTATACGCAAACACACAATGTCACACCTTTGAGAGTAGTTATTCATTGTTAGGCTAATTAGCATTTGATTGCATGGAGGATTTCGTCATGAGCTGACATCAGTTAGAGAACTACTAGAAAACCTGCGGGTACTGGACAGTCAGCTGATTCGTCCTAGTTTAGGACTCTTCACCAGTACGCACCCTCCAGAAGGGGTTCGAACCCAGGACCTTCTGGTTACAAGGCGAGCTGGCTCGTAGACCGCTGGGCCACTGGGACCCGTTCTAGTGGTCCTTGAATTCTAATTCTTGCCAATCCACGATATACCGCGACCATTTCGCAATGTCTCCTTCGACGAATTGCCCTACTGGTCACGGCTTTCCACCAGAACCTCAGGTTAAATGCCTGAGTAGGGCCAGTCGCTAGTGAGCAACAGATTAATTTTTAAGTATCAAACAAAATCCCCCTACAAAACCAATCCTTGATAATTAGCATTTCCCGTGGATTGATTCTTTTAACTTGACCGAAATACTCGGTCTCTATCCACACTTCTAGAAGAGACGCTTCGACAATGTCTTAGGATTATCTATGAAGTTATTACAGTTGATGGTGACTAGCAGTGGGATCTAGGATGAAAACATTTCATTCTATTTGTGATTTGTCAGTTGAATGCACCTTTATTCCTCCAGTGTAACTGATGGTGTTTTCTCGTTGACACTCGAACCCTACACACCCATCTTTCAAATGCCAATTGGAATAGAATCATAAAAATATCTGCATACAACTGAATAACCACATAAAATACATTTTAAAAAAACAACAACAAAGAAACTCACCCGCATAGTACGTTCCAGTTTACCACCGGCTGCAACATTGAAGCAATACAATAAATGATCTTCAGCTACACAATATATCCATTCCCCTCGTCCACTCACTGTACAATCAAGAAAATCACCACCTTCACGTTTACCACTAGAGAAACTTCGAACAATCTAATGTAGAAGAAAAAAGAAAACAATAACAGTAAACGATGATGGAAGAAAAGGAAACTACCAATCATCATACAGTAAATGTAGGCATAAGAATGTGACTGTTCCACCACTCTGTATAAGGGTTACGGTCATGTACGATGATGTGAACCGACTTCGATTAGAGAAACAAAAACTCTGAAAACAAGGGAGTATTGGACAACTGTTTCGATCTTGTTCGAGACTCTTCATCACTATACACCTATGATCTAAGGGGCACGCTAATCCTAATTTCCGCCATGTCCGTGATATACAGCGCGATTGTCAGCCAATGTTGTCAGGGAGTATTCATCCTCACACACACACACACACAAAATTTGATGTGCTTAAAATTGAAATCAATCAAATCCTTGCAAATTGACACTTGAAACATAAGCAAACTATTATTACTTTTATTTCATTATTGGGTTCCAAAGAGAACGTAAGGCTTCACAAACACATTTTCACTTTGTTCTGTCTTCTTCAGCTGGCTATGTCAACGATTGCCCATAATCCCTCATCTCCTCCTCCAACTCATAAGATCTCCTCCATGTCACCCTCGCATCGACGACCCAATTGTCGCATTCCACTGGAGTTCTACCCGAACAATGGCCTGCGCTGAGCGCAATGTCATTCGACGGTTTTCTTAACGTATGCCCAATCTATACATCTCCATTTTTTCCCAAGAGATTAGTCGAGCGACCGGCTCTTGCTTGTTGATTTGTTCTAAGCCAGAGTTTCTTGTTACTAATTCTTTCTGGCCGGCCGTCCGGCCTTTTAATCTTCAGTACGGAGCCAGCGAAGCCAGCTGTTGATGAAAGTCTGCAACAAGCTGTTGGAAATTCTTTTTGTGACAGGCACGCTAAATTTCTGACCCGTATAGAAGCACCAACTTGACATTGGTGTTGAAAAGCTGAATCCTGTTCCCTATGCTGAGTGTAGATTTCCAAACTGGTTTCAGGATGGTGAAGGAGTATCTTGTTTTTCTGATTTTGACTTTGACATCTAAATCCGTTCCACCTGTGGTTGAAACCACATGCTTCCTAGATAAGGGAAGGGAGCAACTTCATTTAAATCTCACCGGTTGATAGTGATGCTGTTTATTGTTGTTGTTGCTGCTGCTGTTAGTAAGGTTATATTCATCACCTCCGTCTTCACCATGTTCTATGTTCACCTGCAGTCCTGTTTTCGCTGCCTGCCAGCCTCTTCGGCCAGTTTGTTGGTTTTCACCCGTCTGCAAGCCTTCGAGTTTGTGTGACATTAGATTTATATCATCTGAGAAATCCAGATCTTCTACAGTCTTCTTATTGGTGGTCCAGCGTGTTCCTGGCTCCTCGCTCTCAGCGCACAGTCTGATGCATAATCCAGTCCACCACAATCAAGAATATCATCGGCGGTAATACACAGCCAGCTTGTCGTACTCCTATATTCAGTTCGAACGCCTCGCTGACTTTTCTATTGTGGATTAGCTGGAACGTGGCATTGTCATATAGCTGTTTAATGAAATTGATAAGGACTTGTGCACTGCACGACGTAGTGTTGAAGTAGTTTCCAAATTGCTTCCCGGTCAACGCTGTCTGTCGAAGGCCTTTTCGAGGTCAATGAAATTGAGGTGGAGTGAGGTTTCACTGCCATTCTATGCCTTGTTCGATGACAATGCGTAGAGTTGAAATTTGATCAGCACGCGACGTGCCTTTCCTTAATCCAGCTTGTTCCGATGTGTGGCGGAGTTCTGTCTCCAGTGCATCTTTCATTCTTTCCAGGATGATACGACTTAGTGTATTACACTTGGTGTGGACAAGAGCATTATTCCACACCAGTTCTTGCAGAGGCTTAATTTGCCCTTCTTTGGCAACTTGAAAAAGTGGCCTTTCTTCCATTGGGTAGATAACTCAAAATTAATGTAGAGCTCACGAGTAAGCGATTGCAAGATGAAGTCATCTGAAGTTTCAGTGAGAAGTAGTGGTGGAATTGGCCGACAGTGACACTATATGTCGCAAGTCAGCGGAGGTTGGAATCGTCGGAGTGGTCATAGGATTCTCTTCCATTGGCTGTATGGTCAACAACCTGGTCCTTTAACATGAAGTAATAAAGGTCGATATCTGATGGAATCATGGGTACTGCTGAAAAGTTTGCAAACTACAGAAAAAAAACACACGTCCAATACAACGCCTTGGTTTTCAATCGTTCTCCAACTGAAGTGAGTTCATAATCAAATTTGAAATTCACAAAGTTCCTGCAAGCTCACATACTCCAAAAAAAATGCGAAGAATACGTTACATTACAATGTCACTCCAGCCTGATTCTCCCCACTTAGTTTTTTACCCTTTCATGTAAATTTACGCTAAATTAATTGAATTAGATTGAAAAACAAACAAGTTGGACTGCTTTAATAAAACATATCAGAGAATCAATTCAAATGATGACCTTTTTTTACCCTTAGTTTGTTTTTACTTTGGTGCAGCGTGTGCTACTGACAGGATTTGGTGAGAAGTATATTGCATGTAATGTTTTAAGCTAGAAAATTGAACAGCCATAGGACGGATTAAGTTGTTAGGAGGAGTGATGACATATCCTTTATGCAACGATATATAAGGAGCACAAAAAGAGGCACACTATGAAGAGAGAATGAGAAAGGGGAGATTTCATTGTAAGGTTTACCAAATGAACAGTCTACTAGCAAGTTATATATGCAGACCATCTTGAAAATTCGAGACTGATTCATTCAGTGTATTATTATTATTGTTTCCTTTAGTTCCTAGAGCAACATGGGGCTTCAGCCGCACATGTCCATTGCGCTCGGTTTTACACCGACGTTTTCACCTGGCTCCATGTCTGCCCACATGCTTTCATCTCCTCTTCACATCACCTTCTCCATGTTACCCTCACACTGACAACCAACTCGGCGCTTCCTATTCGAGTTCCACTTGAGTGATGGCCAGACGTGTGATGTCACTCACTTGATGGTTTACTCAGAGTATGGCTAATCCAACTCCATTTCTTCCTGCAAATTTGTTGCACAATCGGTTCCTGGTTGGTTCGCTCCCAAAAGCGACTCAGTGTACAAGGTCAAAACACTGCCACCCATAGGCTATTGGTTTCATAACTGATCCTTTATTTTCTGCCCTTTATAAGGAGACTTTTAGGGACGTGTACTCAGAAAATTTAGTACGTGCTCCTCTCTCAAGTCTTTCCTATGTACCGGTTACCATAAATGCAAGTGAATTGGTAAATGCAGTCAGTTTGAATTGACATGAACAGGATACGTGTGGAGTACGTAACGATATGATTGTACACTTCTTGTTAGATACTGTAATTAGAGATGTTGTACATGACTCGTGTTTAAAACGATTCATGTTTAAATATATATGACTTCCGAGTACAATTCGAAATAGTGTTTTTGCTAGCCTTCCTAAGTATATCCCTAAAATTAAAAATGAAGTGCAAAGAAGTGTTCTCAAGTACAATTACGAGATTTTTTTCTTTCCTTTTTATTCCATTAGGTTCCCAGCAGAACACATGAAGCTTCAAGGTTAATTTTTAGAGTTCCAGAAGATATGGGGTGCTAGGTTTTTCTGGGATGGGATTGCTAGCTGCATGCCCAACCTTTCGTGTTCATCGGTTTAAACTAGAGGCTAAGTGAAGCTTAGGAGTGTATCAGCCTGCAGTCGAACCTCAGACTACATATAACGTGGTTGACAGGCATTCACATTCTACCAGGATTGATATTTATTAGTACACGGAAAACACTAAACAATCCTCAAGCTGTAGTGTAGCGCGTTAAGCAGCAATAAACCAAACTGTATAGATGTGTTGAGTCCGTTGTCTTAACGAATGAATTATATATATTTATCTGATAGATTTTGACCAACACAACTAGAATCAGACAGATTTTATTGTCATCTAACGGGAAAAAGAATTGTTCTATTGCAAGGTTTTTTCAAGAGGTCAGAAACAAACGCATGTCACCAATCATCCAAGGTGTCATGGTCACTGATAAGTATTTTTATGATTGTTTATCTAGAGTTCTTCGTAAACTGGAGAATCTAGATGAAAGAGCGCGTAATTGTATTCGTCAAAATTCTGGATAAATTATTGCGACTTCAGATCATGAACTAATTGACATGCCTTGATTGATTTCTACGTAGTGACATATGTTAGGTGCCTAGTCCTTGGGTTGGCACAAACTGAATTCTATCAGTTAAGCTTAAAATGTGGTCACTGTGACTAACCGGTGCCTGTGCATTCTGAATTGTTGTTAGATGGTTGGAGATGATATCGGCAGAAAGCCTTGAACCACAGATTTTGCTTGTTCGCACTCATTAACACGCCGTATCTGCAATCTTGGAAGCCATCTATGCCCCCTTTGAGATTCGAACCAACGTCAAACAGTTCAACCAATCGAAGACGTTACGACTGAGTTATTTGGGCTCACAACAGTTCTCCTGTTAGAGCAGTAACCGGTACTTTGATTGGTCACTAGGTATTAACTAATGTCATATGTCTACTCGTTCGTTTGGTTCAAAATGAATTCTCTGCAAGATTACAAACAAGCTAAATGGCTTCAGCAACCACCAATCAAATGAACAACTTTTTTTAAAAAGGTAGAGAATACTTAACAATATTTAAAAACAAAAAAGAAATTATACATAGCTCTCTTCTCCTATGTACCCACCCACCTGTCCTTGCATATTCATTATTGCAACTGTATTAGACCGACTTGCTACTACAAATTGATCAGTATTACGAGGCATTAAATGAACTGAATGAATGGATACTTCATGACCAATGAGACCAGAAATTGCCTATAATAAAAAAAGATTTACATCACAGATTACTACTCATAAGATAAGGGGATTTCACAAATAAAATTCAAAATATTTTCAAGTATTGGTTCTGTAGGCAATTTTGTTCGATTGGTTAGTGGAATTCATTATGAACTGATATCAGTTATGAATTGACAGAAGTTAGAATTCATAGGCTGGCCATTGGATCGTGTCCAAGTGGCTTAATAGTCTACGTTCTTGCCTTATGACAAGAAGGTCCTGGATTCAAACCCCGGTGGGTGCGTACTGATGAAGAGTTCCAAAGTAGGACGAAACAGATGACGGTGCAGTACTCCAAGGTGGCTTTCCAATGATACTCTAACCGATGTCAGCTCATGATAAAGTCCTCCAATTAATTAATTCAAAATATTGTTGAAGCAATAATCATCATCGAGTGTCATCAATGAGCATTCTTCATCCCATCCAATGTAAAGTCACTGTGGTTTACATAACTGGCACACAACTCAACAAATTGCAGACTTTCATCAACATCTCCCCACGCCTTCGCAAGATACTGAGAAATTATATCGCCGGATAGAAAAGACATACTCCAAGGAGCTCTAGTAACGAACCAACCGACAACTAGTAGTCCAACAGATATGCAGAAAGAAATGAAGCTGAATTGGATATACACTGGAGACATTGTTGAGTGACGTCACGCTCAAAGTAGGTCCCGGAGTGGAACCAGAATAGAAAATGCCAAGTGTGCCAGGGCTCACAGGGTGGAAACTTGGAGATCGTATTAGGAAGAGAAAATAAAAGACCATAGACAATCCTGGAGCCAGTTTTTTTATTAAAAGAGAAGACACCAGAGGACAGAGTGCAATGGAGATGTGCTAATGAAGTTTCAGGTTCCACTCGGAAACCAAGCGAACAACGTCTATAATGGTAATAATAGCTATCCAGATTGACAAACGAAGACTTGAAAGTTTGAAATTGTTGATTTTCAACCAACATATTGTATAAAATGCTCACTATTATAGTTTTAAAAGCGTTGAGCATATAAACAACTAGTAGGCGAGAAATGTTTAAAAGCCCAAACTAAGAAGAATTAAATGTTAGTTGTATTTCTTCACGACTTTTATACCTTCCCCCAACTGTTATGTTGTGAAATATATATACGGATGAGTATTTACCCGTTGAATTTCATCAAGGAAATCGTCTGACATTCTCTAAGGTTTTGAAGTTACCGTCTGACTTGACGGAGTTTCAAAAAAATAGAACGTTTCTCAGAAACGCGGCAATTTGAGTTGCCACATTCCAATGTTGCACACAAAGGCAGAAATGTGTTAATTCACGAACCATTTACTCATCACGTGTGGTTGAATGATCACCACTAACTTCAAGTAGGATGAAACGTAGACGATCGAATACCCAATTTAGTAGAAAATCAGATAACTTTCAATCGTGATCTGGAAATAAAAATCCTCTCTATATAATATCAAGTGTCGGTAGCTTAGGAGTAGAATGCTCGCCAACCACGCCGAATAACGGTCCGGGGTTCGATCCCCAGCTGTAACACCCCTTTACGTAGCTAAGCCGATAATAATGTGGTGAGAGCTGTCTGCTAGCCGGAATTGTAGACAACAATTCACGTCAATGTTCACGTCCCGAACCAGAGTCATGAGGAAACGAATAACAAAGCTTAACCTTGAGAGAATCACCGGCCAATCACGACCGCCTTAACGTGTGCAAATACAATTCGCAGATATATGGCTTAACTTTCTAAGAAACGGTCCCAGGCAATACAGAATAACCATCGGCGAGAAAACAACCAGTCAGAAGATGTTGCTTCTTCGCTGACAATAATGTACATAAAAATCTATAAATATCTGTTGATTTTCTCAATGAACGATCTGTTGCCTGGCCCTTGTCTTCTGTCGTCACAATAAGATCCGTAAAAAAGGTAGGTTGGGCATGAGGCCAGCAAGTAAACATTGCTACCGAAACTTCGGAGCTCTAGCTTGAAGCCTATGCTCCACTGGAAATGTGAAGGAATATATATACTCACTTTAAATGTGTGCGTGCACTCTCCAGAACGAACAGACCATATGCGTACAGAGCCATCAGCGCTCCCGCTAATAATAGTATGTCCATCAGGTAGAAATGCCACAGAATTAACAACTCCTGTATGTCCAGTGAATTCTTTAATTATTTTACATGATTTCATCCCGTGAATTCTGCAAAAAAAAACAATTTTATTCGTAAGAAAATATGAAAATAGAAAAGAGTTGGTATTATCAATTTATAGAAATATTATAACATGAATGCAAATTATAATAACCTTATACCAGTAAGTTATCTTTATGACTTTACTAGTGGATCAAGCATAACATACTCGAGATAAGTAAGTGGAATACAATTTAGATAAGAGACTGAATGACTGCAAGTCTTGTGCCTTAGAACCGATGAGTTATATCCATAATTTGTCCAGGAAACAGCTTGAATATAAAAGAATATAAACACGGAAATATGGCTAACTGTTTCAATGTAACATCACAGAATGCTTAAGTCAGTCAAAATTGTGAAAGTAAGATTAGCGCTCATTACTCTGAAATCACAGTTTGGGAATCTAAAGGAGCTTAGCACAAGCAACAAAATTTGAAATTGTAACACTAATGTTAAGCCAGGGCGCTTCTATATAATTCAGAGACTTAGCGCAGGGCATCACAGAAATCATTTCCAACAGACTACTGCAGAAACTCCGCCACAGCTGTATTCGATCGATACTGGAGATCCTCACATGCCTGGACGGGAAGGACAGGCAGTAAGGAACTCCGGCAGTGAACTAACCAACAACGCATCACCCAACGAACATAGAGAAAAAACCAGACTGGATATACACTGACGAGACCAGTGAGTGATATCACACGTCAGAGAGGCTCCTAGGTGGGACCTGAACAGGAACCAACTGTCTGAGCGTGCGAGGATGACAAGGAGGATATTGTGTTATGCAGAAATGATGGCTTATGAGAGCAATCGTTAAACTAGATGAAAAACACTCCAGGAAACAGAGGGGAATAGGAATGCGCGCTGCTGGAGCCTCATGTTTCACTGCGAAACCAAGAGAATAATAATATTCAACTTTTCTTTAGAAGAAGGACACAGGGACTGATGTATTAGGCTTCCAAAGGAGGCGAACTTGTGAAGAGGAGATGAAAGCTTAAGAAGCTAGATTAAAAAGTCAGCAGACAAGAGAATGAAACGGAAATTCACTGCTGAAGCCGTACACTTGGAACAGTAAAATCAATAATGGTGATAATAACTTGCTTTAAGTTCTCTTAAAAAGCTAGTCGTCAGTTAGAAGCAAACAAAATTAAGAGTTTGATATTTTATAAATCCAACTGTACACAAGGCGCCTTTAGATCTCAATAGAGATATCTTAAGTCGTTTATCTTACTGCAGACAAATTTAAGTCTTACATTCGTGAGTAAACTGTAGGGTTTAGTAAAGAGTACATTGACTCCATAAAACTCTCTCTCTTTCTGTAGACTCCAATTTAAATTCTACTGAAATGAAAAATTTGTATTCTTTTAATTTGTTCATCATGAAATTAAATATCACTTAATTTTTAAACACTTAGTCTAAATGTGAATACTGCACGTGCAGCTACGGACATCAATTTCTGTCACTTGTAGTGAGATAAATAAAAGAATGTGAAACTATGGTGGTAGTGGTGTGATACAGACAATGTCTTCCAACGGAATATTATTCTCACACAGTACGAATCATTGTGTAATTTGTTGGTGTTAACGTCTGAATGCTATTCCCACAGTTCAACACTAACATTAGCAATAGAATAATATATGTATTTCATCTTATCAAATGTAAAGCAAAATCACACGCTCAGTGATTAAAGAGTATAAACAGTATAGATATAAATTCGGTTAATACACACACTTTTTTTTAAAGTTATAATAAAACAGGCAAATTAATTTTATTACCGAATACTATGATCTAGACTAGCTGATAATAAATGTGTATTATCCTTAGAAAATTGGATGGCTGTAACGCCTTTATGATGAGCTTTCTCTAAACGTCTCAAACATTGACCATTTTGTATACGCCATACTTTAATTGTGCCATCTTTTGCCCCAGATGCCAACATTTCTGAATCACGACTAAATGTTAAACACAAGACACTGTCTTCCATCATCATAAAGGTATCCTGAAAATATATACCCGGAAAACAAAAAGAAAACAAAAAGGAATATTAATTGTAGCTTAAACTGCAAGAAAGAAAAGACGTTAACGAATAAAGTTTTTTATAAGCGTGTAGTGTGTGACGAGAATTACTCACTCACCAGTGGTATTATAAATGGGTGTAAAGATAAATAACGAAGCGATAGGATTTGGAAAATGCAATTGATCAGGTTCCATTTCTGACGCCTAATCTAGAGATTATTTATACATAATGCGATGTACTGTTCGACAGGGGGGGGAAGGGTTAGAGTAAACAGTAAGTAAAGGCACAAAATGACTACGTAAACAAACAAATTGAGTAAATTGGAAAATTAAAAGAAACGTGGACAAGTCAATACTTGAATTAACACAGTTTATTGACCAAATGACTACAGGGTTTAGTTGGAAGGCTGTTCAGTAGGGTGAGGCCGCTGTCTTCAGAAAAAATAAGGCTGATGAGGAGCTCATGATTATTATTTTTGAAAAGAATTTGCTGGAGATTGGATATCTCAGGAAGTTCATAATGGTATGTAGAAGAGAGGAAAGGTTCAGACTCACATACGTGGTAGTTGAGAAATAACTTGCTTGTAAGTGGAAGGTACCGGAGCTTGAGCCCCGGTAGGTGCGAATTGCTGAAGAGTCCTAAACTAAGATCAGACAGCTGTCCAGTACTCCCAGGTTCTCCAGGGGTTATCTCTCACCAATGTCAGCTCCTGATGAAAATCTTGTGACCAATCAAATCCCTGAAAACCAATACTTAAACCTGTTTTTATTTGTCTAGTGTACAACAGGGAAGACGCATCAACACGAATAGTACAAAAAGAATCAAAAGTCTATCGAAAAGGACATTTCCCGTGACTAGTTTGATTAATCTTTATAGCACGAAATGTTAACAAATACAGTCCAAATGTATTTACCAATTTACATGAACTTGCGATGGCAAGTAAACAGGAAGAAGTGAGAGGAGAACATCTACTAGATTCTCTGAACATATCCATAACAATCTTCATATGAAAGGTACGGAAGTGTTTGTAAGTCCAATCGCTAAGCTCTTGATTGACACAGAAGAATCCAGTCGATCGTTCAAAATAATCGATATATATATATATATATATATATATATATATATATATATATAGAGAGAGAGAGAGAGAGAGAGAGAGAGAAAACCCTGGCTCCTTTAATTTGCAGAATCCATTGCTTCACTCTTATCTGTGTATGCAGAAAGATAGTGTGTGTGTGTGTGTGTGTGATTCATCTTACACTACCCTGGTCTCTTTGTATAACAAATCTTCATGATAATAATAAATCTTCACAATAATAATAAAACAACATAGAATCAAAAGTAAAAAATATAGGTGCAGAGAACGGATAGAGAACTTCAACTGGAAGGAAAACAGTCATACTTAATGAGGTCAAACAGTATTCGTCAACTATCATCGGGAAGGGAAGAAAGACGGAAATTGCAGTACGTTCACCATTGATCACGATTCTTCGCCATATCCGATAACTTTTCGAGCCATCGATTCGAGCTATCTCTCAGACTCCAACTAGGGAGTCGCGACGCACCAACCGATGCTAAACTAGCACAAATATCCTTCATCTCACTACGCCACCTCATGGACTGACCACCTCTATACTTTTTCCATCGTGTCCCAGGGCTAGCGAACAGAGACCTGTATGTAAGCCTCTGAGATGACATTTGAAGCACATATCCCAGACACTGAAGCCGATGTTTCCAGTTGACGACACTTGATGAGTGGTGACCTCCACTGTGTCCAAACATACTCTGCCGACCCTAAGAATTACTCACACAATGATGCCATCGGAGTCAGTTAATTCTACGGAGACGGCAATGATCGAATACGCAGAGCTGCCACACATCCTCAGTTCGGAGAGGCTATGCGTCACAGATGTAGGGCAAGACAGCCCCCACCGAAGCATTGTATACCCGACCTTTAACAGCCAGGCTAACGTTTCGACGGCGCCAGAGGTAGCTCAAGTGAATGTATGCCATGTATGACAAAACAGATGTCTTACATTTCAGATTCGATTACAACCTGACTTCAGTTAGACAACCATTGAAAATCAGGAAGTTCCACCGGATAGCCGCTTCGTCTCAGTTCTGAACTCTTCGATAGCACGCACGCATGACTCCACTACGGATAGCACGTAGAACTTTCAGGTTACAGGGTGAACTACAAACTAACACACCTTAAAATGTTGTAGACTTCCTGGGTCCACTCCGTAAACGAAAACTATAGCAAAAAAAACTATGTGAAACTCCAGCAAACCACTCAACTAAATTATGATACTTATTTGATTGAGGGGTAGACAGGTGGGGAAAAAATACTTTAAAAATAAAGCAAATTAAACCTACCTGAGCTTGATATTTCAAATCTTTACGTAACTTTCCAGTTGTAAAATTCCAAACTTCTATAAATCCATCGACTGAACCAGTTACCAAGAATTGGCCATCTGGACTAAATCTGGCACATTCTACATGACATTTTTGAACGACCTAAATAACAAAAACAATTGACGCAAACAGAATGGCAGAAAAATTTATTTTCAATAAGTTGTATATTCTGATAGTAATAATAAATATTGCTAAAGCTGGAGTCCTGCATCGACGGATTAAAGAGTAGAATGACTGCCAGCCACGCACATCGTCTAGGTTTGATTCCTTGCTGACGCACTCCTAAACCTCCCCCTTGTTGAAAATGAGTGTAAGGCAGTGAATAAAACTATTACTTTCGAAAGAATAGAGGGGATGTAGGGTTTACGTTTCAGACAATAAAGTAAGAAACTGAGACAGAAGTACAACTAACTAACTAACAAATCCTCTCTTCCAGCATGTATGTATTTAAACAGTTAGAAAAACCCTGCATACAAGAACCTCTCATGATCACACAGTTAAGCAAGATTAAATTTGACGTTGTATCATGGTTCAGTGCTGAATACAGTTCATCCTGAATTAATCAGTAACTGGTTGATTATTACAACTCAATTCCCCAAAAATCAAATATAGTTAATAATGATAATAATATGGCTTTATTCCAAACAGTGCATTTGATGATGTAGTATAGAATTCTCGGCGTGTAGTGACTGACTAATTAGGTTTCAACATAGAACTTTGCGCAGAAGTGTAGCGGTTCAAGTCACCAAGCTCCATGACGCACACAAAGGCAAATAGAAAAGAATTCTAATAAGCAGAAAATTGGGGGAGAAACAATAGTAACATGGAAAAACAATAGGGTTTAATGAATATGACAGATACAAAAGACGAGTGCATCTGAGCTACTGACAACGATTTTAAGCCACATCACCAATTGTCTCCAACCTTCATTGGTTCTCAACATTCCAAGGACTCCAACCAGGAAGCCAGTTTACACCTACCTCCTACGTGGCCGGTTTGAACTAACTGTTAAAGATGTCATTGACTGATGAAGCTATGTTTCGGTTTGACCACCACTAGCTCCCTTCCAACCTGATCCTATATCAGTTAACACTGCCTGTTGAGCAAGGTTGTGGTTAGTCATGCGTAACACATGTCCTAACCAACTCAGTCGATGTAACTTCACAACTTTATCGATTGATTTTACTTCCTACTTACCTAGCACTCCACTTACGCCTAACCTCAATATTGCTCACTTTATTATACCACCTCACACGGGAGATAGAAGGGAAACATCTGTGGTCAAAGAGAGTTTGTCTTTTTATATTTTCCACTTTCGGTGACCACTTTTCACATCCATAAAGGAGGACAGATTGAAGTGTTGCGCAGTGCACACATTAATTTATCGAAAGCCAGGTATCACGTCTACACCAGAGATGACATAAGTTAACAAATACCACACGAGTCTTTTGATTCCGTGCTGAGATTTCATCAGCAATTAGTCACGTCAGGGCTGAAGCAGCCTCCCATCTAAGTAAAGTGGTCAACACGTAGTACACTAGTCCATCTAATTTGCCCTTCACATTACATAGTAAGTCAGGAAATAATTAACGGACACATTTGCATTTATAAGTATCGATAAGAACACAGATATAAAATTAAAACTGGTAGAAACAGTGACAACAACATATTAATGATAGAATGAATAAAAAGGGCCGTATATTCAAAGTTCAGCAGTGATTTAATAGTTTCATGACTGACACTTCTCACCACACAAAATGCGTAACAAACAGGGCATCAGTGAGTTTTTATATCCAGTCGTGAGAGGATGAAGTCTTTTATAATTGCTTCTAATTCTTTTTGATTATAATGAAAGGGAAGGGGTAGAGTTTTGTATAAAGAGGGTGCTCTGAGTCTGACAACATGATATTCGTCAATTTCTTGCATTAGTTCAAATGTCTATTTTTTACTTTTCTATAGTTTGGTTTGTAAGGGTTACTTATGTTTTTACGAGTTGATCACAGATTGATATCAGTCAGAGAACCATTGAAAACCAGGGAGTACTGGACAGCTGCTGTTTCATCCTAGTTTGGGAATCATCGGCAGTACGCACCCACCGCCATGGTTCGAACCCAGGACCTTCTGGTTACAAAGCAAGCTCGTAGACCATTCAGCCACTGGGACCCGATTCAATGGCTCATTAATTCTACCTTCTACCGATTCGTGATTTAGCGCGACCCCAACCATTGTCGTTGATGGGACATCCATCCACACAAGTGACATCTAAATGGACCTCACTGGTCACGACTTCTCACTAGAACTCAGGAAACTCCAACCTGTAGCAAGTCACTAGCGAGCATCAGATTAATTTTCTATAGTTTGGTTTGTAAGGGTTTAATTATAGATTGATTCCACATCGTATTTTTGGTACAAGTATGAAATTTTCAGCATATCATATAGGTAGCCCAAATTTTGCAAGCTGGCCAATTGATATCAGGTGTGCGTCGGTAGGGGATCGATCGGTGCCACGGACACACCGATAACGTTATGGCCTTACCAGCAGCTTCTGGTGCTCTTCGTGATGACATAAAGCCTTTCTTAAGAAGCCAAGGAAAGATTAAGGCTGAACAATAAAGAATAACAGGTGGAATACAAGAATTAACAAGCTTTAACACGTCACGGCTGAGTGATGCCAGATTATCTTAACTTACGTAGAAGGTGAGACGGAATTTGTTTTCTAGAAATTAACATGCTGTGGAAAAACTAGGAAAGATAAGAGGAAAGACACAATCTCAGGTATTTAACACTCGACCTAGTATCAACTGTAGTATCCGCCAGTGATACAAAAATCAAGGGAAAGAAACTAGTTCGTGTAAAACACGTTTGTGTCTGAAAGTACAATTCAATAAGCAATTAAGACAACCATAAAAGGTTTTGAGCATAAACACTACTCACTTATATAGAATAATAGACACTAAGTTGCTAACATTATATACTTTAATAAACTAAGCAGGGTAGAAAGTCTGTCGACCAGTTGAAATGAATGAATGAATGACGTAGACGTGATATCCCGCCGACTGTCAATCAAAGGGTGTATGTACTGTTCTGCAGTCAGTCCACTCCGTCCTCTTTTGTGGCTGTCAGTGAGACATGAACACTGAAAGTGGAAGACATGAAAAGGTTAGCTAGCTATCTTTGATCATAGGTGTCCGAGTTATATCTCCCGTGTGAAGTGGTGGTATACTAGGATAAGAGATATTGAGGTAAGGCACCGGTCGAGTGTTAGGTAAGGGTGGAAAATCAATTGATGAGGTGATTATGAAGTTATATCGACTGAGATGGTTAGGAAATGTGTTGCGAATACCTGGCCACCACCTTCCTCGGTAGACAATGTTAGCTGACATAGGTTCAGGTTAGAAAGGAGATAGTGGTGCTCAAACGAAAATATGACTTAATCAGTCAACGGAATCTTTAAAAACAGCTAGTTTAAGCCAGTCACGTAGGAAAGGGAGGTGTAGGAGGGAGACTGACTTTCTGGTTAGGGTCCTTGGAATGGTGAGAACCAATGAAGGCTGGAGACAGTTGGTGATATAGCTCGAAATCGATCTCAATGACTGGCGCAGATGCATTTACTCCTTGTGATTGATCGTATCCAATAAAATCCTATTGTTCTTCTATATTACTATTCTTTTTGACTCATATATCTGTTTATTATCTATCTCTTTTGAATCTCTTTTCTTTCTTTTGCTGCTTTTTGTGCCATATAGAGTGTGGCAACTTGAAGTGCCTAAAGTTCCGCGTTCAAACCAGTCAGTAACATACAAAGAAGTAAAAATCAAATAACGATGTTATGCATATTATTTTATGCGTTGAAGTTTCTGTAGCGAGTTGATATGTACCCACATGATGTGTGTTTTGTTTTTGACAGTCGATTATATTTTGCCACGTGTATATGGATCGATATTCCATTATAACTGACATTATGCTTTTGTCTGTCCATTAACTAAATAAATAATGTATGACGTTGTTGTCACATGACATTACAATCAATCATGATAAGATGTTATCTTATTGGTTCATGTGTATTAGCCATTTTTATATATCTGTCTGTCTGTTTTCGACATAGAACTTTGCACATATGTGCACCAGTTCAAGTCGCCACACTCCGTGTAGCACGCGAAGCAAGAGAAGAAAGTACAAGAAAAGCATAATAGAGACAATGAGCAAAGGTGTGAGACAAAGGAGTAATAAAGAAAAACAAAAAGTTTCATTGGAGATCATAAGTCACAAGGAGTGCATGCATCTGCGCCACTGAGAACGATTTTCAGCCATGTCACCAATTGTTTCCAACCATAGATTTTTACCGTCCCGAGGACCCCAACCAGTCAGGAAGTCTACACCTTCCTACGTGGCTTAGACCAACTGTTGTGGATTTCATTGACTGGTGAAGCCATCTTTTCGTTTGACCGCCGCTAGCTTTTTTCCAGCCTGACCCTATATCCGCTAACATTGCTCGTCGAGGGAGGCGATGGCTTGGCATACGTAACACATGTCCTAACCATCTCAGTCTTTGTAACTTCACGACTTCGTCGATTGATTTCCCCTGTTTACCTAGAACTCTACGCCTAACCTCAATGTTGCTCACCTTATTATGCCACTTTACACGGGAAATAGAGCGCAGGCACCTATGATCAAAGACAGCTAGTCTTTTCATGTCTTCCACTCTCAGTGGCCAGGTCTCACAACCATAAAGGAGGACGGAGCGGACTGATGAGCAGTACACCCGCCCTTTGGTCGATAGTCGAACATCTCGTCTACGCCAGAGTCGGCGTAAACTGGCAAATGCGAAACGAGCCCCCTGTATTCGTGCGGAGATTTCGTCAGAGATCAGCCCGTTGGGGCTGATGGTACTTCCCAAATATATACTTTTGAATTGTACACTTTATTATTCTGGTTCACACACTTTTTCGCACACTCGTACCATTTCACTCACACACTTGTGTGACATTTATTTTCTTTGTCTGGAAAATACAAGTATCACCGTGACTAAGGCGGTCTTCTGATTTCCCTCTTTCAGCGTCAGGACTATTAACTACTCGACGAGTACATAACACGAGTAGACTTATTTCCTGCAGTAAGGTCTCTTGATAGCCCAACATTCCACCTTCTCTCTTCCTCTGGCCTTAGGAGAAGCTAGTAAACTAGGCAGTGCGACATGCAGGAAGTCGCGTGGGGGAGAAAACGACAAAAAACAGCACAGGAAACAGTGGACAATGAAGATGGCCTGCTGTAGCCCTATGTTCCACTCAGCACTCAAGGGAATAATAATAATAATGTATTACAACATCATCAAGGTGCAAATTTTACGATAAAATTCACATGTCATACATAAAAATATTTGGGAAGATAGCCTCCAAGAAGGAAATCCCCGCTTTCAATCAAAAGGAGGCTGCATATATGAAGATGTTATAGCGCGCTATAATCAGAAAAGCACAACAGACTTTCACATTACACCGAATTCAATAATGGAAATTTACTGAATTCAGTATGAGGGAGAAGATCAAGATCATCAGCACTAATGTTGAATCAGCACTTCTATATGGGGTTTACAGACTTATCTCATGCGTCACGGAAAGCATTTCCAAAAGGCTTCAGACTTTCATCAACAGCTGCCTCTTTCATTCGATCGATACTGCAGATCGGATGGCAGGTGCGAAAGAATAAGCAGCAGGGAAGTGTGGTAGCCAACTAACCAACCAAGTATCTATCACCCAACAAATATGCAGAGGTAAATAGAGATGGATTGGAGACACTTTGAGGAGACAGTTGAGTGACATTACACTTCGGGTAGGCACTCGAGTGGAACCCAAATGAGGAATAATGAGTTAGAAGTGGCTTTGAAGGTGACATGGTAGATATCAAGTGAGGAGAAAACGAAAGCTCATGAGCAATTTTTGAAGCCAAGATGAAATAGCGACATGTTGCTGAAGCCCTGTTATCCACTCGGGAGAATATTAATAATAATAATAACAGTACATAAATCCACTGAAAACCAAACGATGTAGGAAACTAAACAATTGTATCACGATCATCTTTATCCTTTTGGTTGCGTGATTTTTACTTGTAGTGTGTTGACTTCATGAAAAAAGAACTTGCATACACGAGTAAATAAATAACGATATTAAAAACAATATTATTATATTATTCACACATTCACACCGATATTTGGATTTCCGATCATCCCATCCTATGTCAGTGAGAACAGGATTGGTGGAATGTTTAAGTAATACGGCACAGAAACTAAGTAGTACCAAGGAAAATCTAAGACAAGAAATGAGGCTTATAAGAGAAGCTTTGAAACAATCATTACCCTGATTAATTAACCAGGAAGTATGTAAGGGAATATAAAAATTAAAATTGATAACAATGGTAGTGATAGTAGCAACAATATTAATGACCACATGCATGAACGTCACACATGCGCAGGATAAGGACAACACCAACAATAAGGAATCTAAATCAGCCGTACCAATTCCATACAAACCTCGGAAATTTTCAGGAGAATTCTTAACAATGCAGGGGATTAAAGGTGGCATTCAAATCCACAAACTCAATTAGAAGCAAGCTTTGTCAGTTTAAAGGATCCTGTGAAGCCAATTAAACAAAACAATTTAGTTTCTTTAATACCTTGCTGGAATTATTGACAGGTCAAATAATGCATAGGCGAAAGTAGTAGAACTGGGTGAGTCAGTTAGACTTACGGAGAACAAACAGTCTAGCAGCAAAATCTAGATTAGTTGACCCGAATAAGACATGAAATCTGGAGAATAGTTCAGCTATACCGCTACACCACGTGCAGTTATACACAACCACACAGTAGGATGGGATACGATAACAGTTTTGAAATCTTATGTCACAGAGTGGAGGGAGAGATTGATAACAGACGCCTTGTTTATCGAATCAACTGACAGTGAATACGTGTAATAAGAATAATTCAACACCTGTCCCAGATATCTGGAAAATTCTACTATCACACCTACTACGACATATTTGAGAGAACAAAGAAAACTATAAAATGCAAGTTTCGAAGTTGTGTGATTATAATTGATGAAATGATTATGATAAATTTTGTTGAAAATGTCATCTAGTAAATAATACTGTTTCATCACTGTGTGATATATCTAGTAAACAAATTCATATGGAATTACATACTACCATAGTTCCCAAGTTCCACACATATACTAATATTGAAGACAACTTACTCGGATAACAGTAGACAATTTTGTCGGTGGCTTCTCTTCTTCTTGTTCACGTACAGCAGCTTTCCCACGAAATACATCTATTGCGGTGCCAGATGGTAGTAGACCTTGATGTTGTTGCCATTTCAGCGCTTGACTAAGTAAAGCCAGCAGACGTGATGGTGCAACAATACTAACTTCTTCTGACAGTGATGTAGCCAAGGCTTGTCTACGCTTATCTTTAGTTTGACCATCTGGATAAGCCTAATTAAGTGAGTTTCATGAATTTATTTGCATTCGATTGCCTTACCTCTCTAGGATCAAAATACGAATGATTTAAAAGATTCTCCAAATGTGTATATCGTTCAGGTTGATTATGTTTCATTTGAATCATAGGCTCAGTTTGTCGAAGTATCGATCTAGCTGCACCGATATCACGCAGTTCGATTAATTCTATAACAATCTACAAGAAGGTTAATACCCACACACAGAGAGACAATCACTTACTTGTTCATATAAATCGATTAATTTCTGTTCAGGTAGCTTTAAATATTGTACAGTCTGTAGGACAACATCCCAATGACCATTAGTAATATCTGATACAAAACTTTCAATCGATTCAACAGTATTCAATGAGACTCGTGTTTCTTCCTTTGATTAAGTTATTTTTTTTGTTAAAGAAAAGGATAATGTAATATATACCTGTAGTGTACGTAATGTTCGTAGGAGATTACTCTCCTTCAGGTATTGTTCCACTAAACGTACTACACTGGAAATTATTTTTTTTAAGAAATTCGATCAATAATCATAATGATAACAAAATTACTCGGCTGATTCAATTTCAATATCCATTATAATTGGATGACGATGATGATGATGGTGGTGCTTCTATGTTGGCATAAAGTTCAATCGAAAGCAAAATCTATTCTGGCTCTGAAAAACAAAACAAGAAAAATAGAGCCGGGAGAAAAAATGTACAAACAACGAATGAGATAAAAACAAAATTAACCGATTCCATACTCTGACAAACAATATTTGAAATTGTGGAGAATGTCCATCCAGGATATTAGGAAGCAAACAACGAGAAGCACAGCAAAAAGACATTTTTCGGGTGATTTCATCTTCAAAAGCTGGCTATGCAATCGTATTTTTTAATCAAAAAGTTCGCATAGTTACAATTATTATCTAATTCAACATAGTAACGGAAATTTATCTATTTGTTACTTACTAAAACAAACTTGGTACGTTATAGACACCAACAGATGCGCCACACGAAACCCTAAAGTTTATGTGAGGGATGGGATACTGTAAGGAGGCCCAGACTAAAGCAGGTGGTTGTCTTAAATAGCCACCCCAAAGTCTGATCCACAAGGCAGTGAAAAAACATCAGTAGGAGCTACATTCTTATGGTTTCCGATTACCGAAATAGGTTCAAACACCTCGATCATTTCAGATTTTGGAGTTTATAGGTTTGTAATCATGGTTTGCCTCGCCCCCCCCTAGGGAGATCAGCATAACTGCCAGACTGGCTGTTAACGCCAGACATCCGCATTAGCTCGCCACACGAAAGCAAAGGCTATGAGTGTGTGGTCACATGAGAGTACTTCGAGAGGAAGACCGAAGTCTACTCACCCTCGGCCATGCCAGGTCGTTTACTGGGGTTTGACTTTTAAATAATGAATGGGTCACAAATTCGAGCATTGCGCCACCTGCTTCTATCTAGACAAGCTCAAACGCCCACTCACACACACACACTAAGTGTGGACCGCGGCAGTAATATCACATGCAAATAGAATAAGCAAAAAAGAAATTATCAAAGAGTTATGCTTCGAACTGAAGCTTCAAAAAAGTTTCTGTATACAAACTGCACAATCTCCTTGCGTAGTTAGTCACATCATGACTACAAAGTAAATATTAAAATTGTTACATAACACAACGCTAGGAACATGTAGAGAATGGAGAATAATAAAAAATTTAGAAAACAGAAAGATTGAGCGACCGAAGAAAGAAATATTTACTTTTCAATTAGATCCTCATCTCACTTTGGCTCTACTGTAATATACACGTATAGCATTTTTATTACAATATACAACAGTTTACCAGATATAATTGAAAAGTAAATATTTCTTCGCTCGTTCAATCTTTCTGTGATCTAAATGTCTAAATAGGGATTCTTTTTTCTATATTGAAATAATAAAACAATCAGAGATACAGATGTTATTAAACTTTTTAGTCTAGTTTTGAAGAAAAGTAAACACCAGAAAAATACCCATAACCATTCCTTACTAATTTCTGCGTTTTCAACAACATTCTGATTAGCTATGCTCCTAACAGCTAGCTCACATCTGCCAGTTTACGCCGTCTCTGTCATAGATGTGATATGTCTAGTTATCGACCATAGAGCGTGTGTACTGTACAGAAGTTCACTCTGTCCTCCTTTATGGCTGAGACCCAGCCAGTGAAAATGGGAAACATGAAGAGGCTAGCTAGCTGTCTTTGATCATAGGTGCCAGTGTTCTATCGCCACTGTGAAGTGACATAATAGGGTAAGCAATGTCGAGGTTAAGCGTGAGTCGAGTGCTACGCAAGGAAGAGAAATCAATCGACGAGGTGATTGTGAAGTTACATCGATTGAGATGGTAAGAACATGTGTTGCGAATACCTGGCCACCACCTTCCTCGGTAGACAATGTTAGCTGACATAGGTTCAGGTTAGAAAGGAGATAGTGGTGCTCAAACGAAAATATGACTTAATCAGTCAACGGAATCTTTAAAAACAGCTAGTTTAAGCCAGCCACATAAGGGAGGGAGGTTAAGACTGACTTCCTGGTTGGGGTCCTCGGAATGATGAGAACCACTGATGGCTGGAGACAGTTGGTGATATAGCTCGAAATCGTTCTCAATGACTGGCGCAGATGCATTCACCCTTTGTGATTGATCATATCCAATAAAATTCTACTGTTCTTCTATACTACTATTCTTTTTGCCTCATGTATTTGTTTGTTAACTGTCTCTTTTATTGCTTTTTGTGCTATATAGAGTGTGGAGACTCGAACTATTGCACATTGGGGCAAATTTCTATATTGAAACCAGTCAGTCAGTCAGTAACAGCTAGTACAGAGGACAAAAGTTTGTGGGCACCGTAGGAGACATTGCATTGGCATGTAAAGAAAGCGGTCAATCAGCTGTACAACAACTAAGCAGATATGTAACACATACGAAAAGAGTAACACCCAACCTTATAACATTTGTGAAACTGCTGATATATTAACTTATTTTAAAGAACCATTGTGAGACCTGAGAGCACCGGACATCTGCCTCGTTCTAGTTTCGGAAGCCTCAACAGTATGCACCCACACGTTCGAACCCAAGATCTTCACGTTACAAGGCGAGCTCGTAGACCATTCAGCCACTAAGACCTGATCCAATGACCCGCGAATTCCAATTTCTGTCAATTCGTAATATACATAGCGAAGCCCCTAGCCGATGTCATAGACGATTAATTGTTCTCTTACCAAACTTGGTAACTGATGTCAACTAGTGACCACATCTCTGACCAATTAAATCCCTGCAAACCAATACTTGATATTAGATGATTATATGTACAAAAATAGATGTAACGTATGAAATGGTCAGTGGGTTGGATACTCTTAAGTTCAAAGGCAAGTGACAAAGTCAGTGAGTCACATATTCATGTTGTAGACTTGAAGATATTTCATAACTGCTTATTACAAAATAAGAGGAGTGTCCTATTGAATAGATTAACCAGTACACTGAAAAAAAACAGTGTACTCTGATAAAGTGCTAACACGACAGCATAAACGAAACTATTTGTTTCAATGATCCATTATGAGATGAACACTGAATTCAGTATATGGAAAACATATAGTATGCTGATGGAGAGAATTACTAGTCGCCAGCTTAAAAATTGGCTGAACTCAGTTCCCGGAAGAGGCTTTTTTCATGTTCCAGGCTATAAGCTACACTTACTGTGTGAGGTCTCATGATATACTACAGTTACTCCGAATAATAGCGCGAAGAAGGAGTTCGACACCCAGACCGATTGAATGTAAGTCAAGTGCTTAAGGCTATAAGCCACAACTGAAACAATGAAAAGCTTAGTACATTCAAGCTACACTAGATATCACTTTCTGTGATCCAGAAAAATATGAAATTACGACCAGAGGCGAAAACAATCCTACTGATAGTCTAGCACAGCTACTCTATCAGCTTCAGGTAGGAGTGTTCAACGTTAGGAACCTTTGACAAATCGGCCGACACATCTGACATCTCGAACCATGGATGCATATTATGTTCCTGGAACACGCATACAAGACTCAAGTGTTGTTATTCACTAAACTCCACCTGACTAACAAGGTGAATCTGTAAAATTTACCCGTTCACGCGTGTCAGGAGATTCTTCGACTAGTTCGCCAGGACTTACAAGTCAAGGGTAGCATTAACTGTTAGGGTGGAAAATCCATACTTGACAGATTGCCAGGAGATAGTTGTAGGTGTGGTGTCCGGTTGGACTGATTATTTAGAAGAAAAACAAAATACTGCGATGCCCACTAACGTCTTTCCATAATCACCGCTTACGTCCAACCAATTCAACGTGCACCGTGATGGTGAGCCATCGAGCATGGCGGCCACATTTCAAACTCGACTGACAGAATTCCGTCTGCACCAAACAAATGACTGGACAGATTACACTAGTTATTGACTACTGTCCAGTAACTAATTTGAAGGGCTTTGTCTTGATCCTCCTTTGTGGACGGGGATTACTATGGCGTCTTTCCAGTCATGCGGTGACACTCCATTTAGGAGAAATAGCTTGAAGATCGTGGCCAAAGGGCCTGTTATTTTAAATGTAAAATGCTTAATGTTATATTGGGCGATTTAACAATTATTGTATAAAAATGTTGGTAAATACTCAAAGTAAACACATACACAGAATATCTAGTTGAATTAACAATGAAGAGTTTGTACATTATGCATGAGGTATCTTTTTTAGGTCATTTGATAGAATAATGAACACAAATTAATTGACATACATATTTTACACATATATTAATAGAATAATGGAGTTTTTTAGGGACAGGTGATTAAAAATCAATATAATTATAATGATAAACGCAAAAAAACAAAAACAACGATGGATGTCATAGCCAACTAAGGCAACAAGACGACAATTCAATAAAATAGCAATGCTCATCACATGCATTTTCAAAAATAACAAGTATAAAAGCCCCGAGGTTAATACAGATACACGTGCTAATTGTAAAAACTCGACCTGAGGAGACGATGACAATATATAAGTTGGGGAAATCATGTTGATGTAAAACAACTGTACAGTGAATGTTTACACGAAGAAAAAGAAAGCGACGGACATGATATGGAATTACAACAGTTTATCTGACAGTTGTAACCTAACCACATACACAATCACATGAAAACACTGAATCTGAATAGAAAATGAACAGCTGTGGGTTGGTTTTGTTGAACTACTGTTTGACATGGGATTCCTGAATTAACAGAAGTTGCTCCGGCGGTTGATCCGGATGCCGAAGCAAGTCACTGTTTGGGGTTGTTCTGAAGCTCCAGTAGCATCACTCGACAATCCCGAAACAACTACTTGACCTGAGCCTTATCAACTGTCTCTCCTGGTGCTGGTCTAGGTGGTGCTCAGTCTTCAGCCAATACCTCTTCAACAGTAAAAGCAGCTTCCGCTCCAAATGCTACTACAGTCAATACTACAGCAGCTCCGTTGCGGTACGTTCTACAACTTCCAGTAGGTTCGGCTGGAGCATCAGCTGGATAGTCTTTTCAAATACAAGTCATCCCTCAACATTTTATGACGGCTAACACGGACACTGTATCCGCTGGTCAAGCTGGTACTATTCTCACTGATGGTAGCACGTTCCCCTAGTTCAAGTTGTCTATCAACCTAACATACTTCCAATGCCCTCTAGTTTCTTCACAAGGTACAATATCGATATGGAAATCAAACTGATCTGTATCTCCATCACTGACTGCCATAGCTATATCATTCCTTTGAAGTGTGCGTCTTCGACTGGGTTCCACGCGAACCCAAGCTCTTGAGGTTAACTATCGAATAAAAATTTCAGCTCCCTTAGCAAACAGTATTGGTACTGCAGCACTAATCATCATAGACTTAATATCATCATCTAGTTTAATTATTTTCTTTATTCTTGCCAAGGGTAGATCTTAAGTCTTAAATGCTGTATGGTCGCATTTAAATCCGTCTATTTCAGCACGTATGAGATCCTAAAATGACACCGTTCGTAACTGAAATTCTATCAGTTTGTCATTTATAGAACCCATATCGACTAGATCGAAAAAGACGCCACTTATTTCAAACGTTATTGTATTAGCGTCACAACTACTTAACCTGTATCAAATTAAAACCATCCGCAAAAGTAATAACGTATGACACAACTCACTTTAATATATGAAGGAAACAGAAATGTTTACAAGGATATACCAAAAAGCCCGACGCCAACAGTACACACACATTCGAAAAACCCGCTCTAAACGTCCAATGCCCCTTGGATGAGCTCGTAATAATTACCTAGCACTCACTTCTTCTTATTCAACGAAGGGTTCGGGTTCATAACAGATTCCAGTTAACTCTATTTCGTCGACTAACACAGCCCTACTGAATTCACTAACAAGAAGGGCATTAATTTAAGCTGCAAATATTGTTTCCCTGAACAATCCCACCGTTACATCGGTAAACATTCTTGAGAATGAGGTTTTGAGAAATGAAAAATTTGTGGGAATGGACAAGCAGATGAAAGGCGGGTTAAGGGGAATCAGCGTAAGACTGGCGAAGATTTGTTGACATTCACTTGGCTGATATCGAACTACGAGTTGACTGATCACGGTGTACAAAAGGTGGGTGCATTATCTAAATTGTCCGAAGCAAAACATTTCAGGAAAAGTGAACCGCGTGTATCTGCAGACGAAATCCTGGCGAAAGCATTTGCCGGAGAGCATCAATTATTACTTCTTCCCATTTCACTTCCCTTAGGGTTTGTCAAGGTTTTCCACCACAGGAGAAGAGCAACCATCGCTCAGATATCGATGACGAAGCTATCGTCACCGACAAGACAATACACGTTCCTGACGCGTCTGTTTTAGGGAGTAAATGCCCCTCAGGACAGAATGGCGCCCACTGTAGCCCTGACACCCATGCTGCTACTACGATATCCGACAACTCGTCCACTGCCGGTAATGAAAGGTCTGGCACAAGGAAAAAGCTTATCTTGGGTCAAAACCAGCAGTTCAAGTCGCCCAGGGACTTGTAGATCAAGTCTCATCCACAGAGGTGGATAGCGGGCAAACACAATCGGCTACAATTATTGAGGGAGACGCCAATGAATGGCGTAATGTAGTCTCTCACAAAAAGCGAGATAAGGACAACATAACGGCCAGACTGTTCACGAGGGACGGAAAGACATTTACGCCGCAGGGCAAGAAAGCCACGAAAAGCAAATCTAATCTGTCTGACAGCTTGCTCACTCTCCACAAAGTGGATGAATCACTGGCCTCCAATACCAAGGATCGGTTTGAGCATGACTTTAACTTGGTCAAGCCCCTTTTAGATAAGCTACTGCCAACCACAGTATCAGGATAATAAATAAATTTATTCTCATGATACAGTACATGAGGGACGCCAGTTTACAGGCATCATCAAATTGTTACAGAAATAGGACCATATTGTTCAGTCACAATTTACAGTCGATAGCAAAATATGTTTAACATGTACACTGGAGATTATACATACACTTGATAAATGTTAATCCCAATGGTATAAAACATCCTTTTCACTTATGTACAATCGTCTCAATACACAATGTATATGGAATCGAACAAAAGCCTGATCCTACATTAAATCAGCCTGTACGTCTCCTCAAAGTCATACTAAACTCCAAAGAAGAGAAGAGGATAAGCAACTCTCAAATTCCTAAAGGATCAAGCATATATGTCCGTGCCAATTTAAGCCTAGCAGACTGTGTCAAAAGACAGCCTCCGTCTGTATGATCGACTTCATCATTTGCAAACTCTTTAATAACAGCAGTAGACAATTTGGGCTCTTCCTCACGAATCCCTTAAGGTTTTATACCTTTACTCTGACTAGTAATACCTTGTAAGCTTGTGGAGTCAGAACCGGACTCTGAAAGTACAACTCCCTTCTCCTGCACAAACTGCGGTGTCGTCTGTGACACTCTATTCAACAATGGCTTACCAATTGCAACTACAGGCTTCCTCACTGCATCCTTATCGTCACACAATTCGTAGTCAGAACTTGATGAGTCTGACTTCGCATTTAGCTTACTACTAAACTTGGTCACTTCTTCGCAGTTCACCTTTGTATGCACTTCTTGCAAACCTGTAAAACACAACCGCATTTGTCTCGCAACTTGTAACGTATCTGTTGGGGACGTCCCATGAAAGCTGTTACACCCACTAAGTTTATATTCATTTCTAGACACCATAAAGTTTTCTCGATATCCACTTCTCTGAGACCCTTTCGTCATCAATGATTGCGTTTTGCTCTCAGACTGCTCTATTCTAGGGGTGGGATGCAATATAGTGGCAAACTTGCTCATAGCTTGGTTGACACTTCCTTTTACCAGTTTCAGAATATCATCGAAATTTGGCTCAATCTTCACCCACTTTCTTTGCAGTTGGGTAGGTAGGCACCTCGCTACTATCTCTAGGACAGAACTTGAGTTCAGATCGCTCATGCAATTCATCGATATCAACGTATTTTTGTAAGTCATCAGATTATCCAAAAACTCAGTGAGTACATTGGAGTCATCTCATAAATGATTACCATTACCTTTAACAGCCTCGAATATATTCCTCACAATCATCGAAGGTCTTCCAGATATTAGACGCAGGATACGCATTGCCTCAGTATATCGTTCGTTAGGGGGCATGAACTTACAGCACTGTGAAGCTCCTGCAGGTCACTTTTGGACGACCAAGTCCCCGCTTCCTAACCGGGTTCCACTCCATTAAAGGCTTGTCTAGTGATGTCACTTGATGGTTTGCTTCCTCAGAGTATGACCAATCCGTCTCCATTTCTTCCTGCCTATGTGTTTCACAATCGGTTCCTGCTGGGTTGGTTCGCTCATCGCCAGAAATCCCTGTTGCTGATCTTTTCTGACTGGCCATCTGATCTTGAGTATAGAGCGAAGACAACTGTTAATGAAGGTCTGTAGTTTGTTTGAGATGTTCTTTATGACGCGCAGTGCAAGTCACTGATCCGTATGGTGAGTGGCACTGACTCCACATTGGAGTTGAAGATCCGGATCTTATTCTCATTTTCATGCTTAGTGCTGTTGATCTCCACACAGACTTGAGAGTAATGACAGCTTGTCTTGCTTTTCCGATTCTGGCTTTGAAATCCTCGTCAGTTCCGTACTCCTGTAGTTGAAACAATGCTTCTCAGGTAGGCAGGTGAAGGAGGATGTTTCTTTCAGGTTCCTCCCATTTATACTGGCTGATTGTTGTCTGTTGTTGTTGCTGTTGGTGCAGCCCAGGAATCTTCATCACTTCTGTTTTATCTATGTTGACTTGAAGTCCTATCTTTGATGCTTCTTCTATCGTCAACTTGTTGCTTTTCGCGGTAGAGATATGTTCACCTCCTTATACACATCTCTGGTTAGATCAAGACGGGAAAACTGCATCCAGGCCGCCAGTCCTTGTCTAAAAGGGGATTCACACATTCTAGAAAGTGTTCAAAGGAAGGCAAAACGTATGGTTCACGGCATAGCTAACTTATCATACGAGGAAAGACTAGATAGTTTAAATCTCTTCTCACTGTCATACCGTAGGCAGAGAGGAGATTTAATCACAATGTTTAAAATTTTAAATAATGACTACGGACCTGGCCTATTCTCTCTTTTCCTTCCCACCAGGTCGGAACACCTTAGAGGACACAGCAGGAAAGTTCAAAAGCCAAGGAGAAATCATATTGCTGTTGAGTACTGGTTCTCACATCGAGTCATAAACTCTTGGAACCGACTCCCAGAAGAAGTGGTGTCTGCAACCTCAACTGATTCGTTCAAGAAGGGTTTGGACAACCACAGAAATCTACTAGAAAAGGATTAATATAGGCTGCAAGCCTTCTATCCTCAACCAGAAAACCTGAATCTGAAATCTGATACTCGTTGGCGCCAATTATAATCTTGTCATCCGCGTGCGCGGGTTTTATTTTGCGAGGTTCTCCACTGCTTTACTCACTATTCACAGGCTATTAAGCCGATATTATTGAGTACGTCTCCCTTAGGTATATTTTTTCAAGTCATTTGTAAAAAATAAAGTTTTATATTTTCCGATATATATTTTGCATTTAATATTAGATGCTAATAAATAAGGCTGCAGGTTTTTCCTTTGGGCAATTAGTTATGAGATATCGGTCCACATGAAAGACAAATATTTCTACACCTCTTAAGCTTCTACTTTTTGTGATATGTTTTGAGGAAATTGAGTCTTGCAAGCGCTTCTGCGCATATGGATGCAGAATGTCAAGTAGCACTCCACAGTGACAGATGTTATGTGAACACTACTACATTGTTATCCTCAGTGTCATTCTTCTATAGTTCATTTGCACTCATACAAAACTAATCTTTACAAATCAACTATAGAAGAGTGAACACAACAACAATTTGACCATAGTCATTACAAATATATGTGATGACTGCTTACATATTTCTATTGGCAAAAATGTCCATGGACAAATGACCTTCAAATAAACTGACTTCAGTTTATGTAAAAATTTTTGGCTATATATTTTGATGATTAATAAAAATCCGAATAAATCTGATGAAGAAGCTGTGGCTTACACAGCGAAGCGTTCAGAAAACAGATCTTGTTTTGATTTTCTTAACACGCTGGGATTAATTTAAATATCTCATGTGTTAATATAGTTATTATTTAAAATACTACTGCTTCAATGGTAAAAATTGATTTTGTAGATATATTTAATAATGTCTTTGCCCTGTAAGCGGCTGACGAGAAGGCAACGAAATAAAAGATGATACCACTTTATTCTGCTAAAACTGTAGTTTTGGCTTCATTCATTGGTTATCGTTGTACCTTCATTAAGCATGTCAGAAGGCCTAGATTCTTATTGCTTGTAAATCAGTTTAAGAATCATATGGTTCTTTTTTCCGGTCACCGAAGTTTTCCTACACATTGCGACACTACAGACATCAAATTGTATGAATGTGACAAATTTTACGTCCCCCCCCCCGGCCAAAAATATTTTGATGAAAACTGTAGTAAACATATCAGGCTTTTGTTGCAAAATTAAATATGCATCAGAAATTAGTCGCCCTCCCTCATCTGTGAGATTGTAAGCATTTGGCGAGAAAGTTGACGCCTTAGAAAAATCCAAGTCGATTACAAATATAGCATTCAAGTCCTGACTGACTTATCTATACCTCTGACCCTATTCACTGGTGAAATTAATTCCACTTCGCGTGTTGCGATTTCTTTATTCCCTTAGACTTGGTAATTTTTATACTCACAATCTCATTTTCCAAGACTGTTTTCTTGTGCTCAACACATGCTGCAATTTCCGAATGTTTAGCATGCGATTCGCCCCCGCCAAACGCAAGAAAATGTTACAGGACTGGACTACATTGACTCCTAGCTTAGATATAGGGAGTGAAGTGGTAGAGCGTGCTGATCAATTCACTTTATCTGGGAAGTTGTATCAGCCCCAACGGGTTGTTCGCCAACGAAATCTCAGCACGGATACAGAAGGCTAGTTTCGCATATGCCTGATTACGTCGTCTTTGGCGTAGACATGATATCCGGCTATCGATCAGATGGAGTGTGTACTGCTCAGCGCAGCAATTTGCTCCGTACTCATCTATGGCTGTTAGCCAGACCTGGTCATTGAGAGTTGGAGACCTGAAAAGGCTAGCTGTCTTTGATCACAGGTGTCTGCGTTTTATCTTTCGTGTGAAGTGGTATAATAGGGTGAGCAATATTGAGGTTAAGCGTCGAGTGCTAGGTAGGTGGGAGAGGAAATCAATTGACATGGCTGTGAAATTTCATCGACTGAGAGAGATGGTTAGGACATGTGTTACGTATGCCTAGCCACCGCCTTCGTCGACTGGCAATGTTCGCTGACATAGGATGGATCAGGTCGGAAAAGAGCCAATGGTAGTCAAACTAGTTATCAGTCAATGAAATTCACACCAGTTAGTCTAAGCTATGTAGGAAGGTGTAGATTGGCCTCCTGGTTGGGTTCCTCGGGGCGGTAAAAGCCAATGACTGGAGACAATTGATGATCTGACTCAAAATCATTCTGTGGCGCAGATGCATACACTCTTGATTTATAATATCCAATGAAATTCTTTTGTTGTTCCATATTACTATTCTTTTTCCCTCACTCATATTTCTGTTTTGAATTTCTCTTTACTCTTTTCTTTTGCTTTGTGTACTACATGGACTGTGGCAACTCGAACTGGTGCACATCTGTACAAAGTTCAACTTTGAAACCAGTCAGTCTGTGTGTTTCACAGTGTTCGTACTAACCACCAATAAATTACAGTCTGTTTAACTCATAATTGTCCACTTGTGTTGTTTCTAACTACTCTTCAAAACAGACGTATTCGAGAAACCTGGCTTTATTTTTAATAAAGACAGCTTTAGTTTCATGTGTCACAAGTATCATTTACTAAACTGTCGATAAAATGCTGTTTATGGTCATGAAATTGTGTGCTGGCAAAATACACTGTTTTGCTTATTGGGTCTATCAAAAGTTTAGCAAAAAAATTTAATAATGTAAATAATAAAGGTGATAAGGGATTTAAAACCTAATTAGTCCTATTACTCAGTGAAGGAATATCAGGGACTCTGTTTAGACTGAAATTAAGGCGGTATTTGAACCAGCTAACTTATTTATAGATTAACTTCAGCTACTACAGCATCATATAGACCCTAGTAAGGGATGAAATAATTCACTGAAAACAGTTTTACGAGGTAAATTATGCAAGTCAAAAGATTATATAAGGATTACTCAGATTATTGAGACATTGGAGTTTATCAGGAGCTGGAATGACTGACCCTATCAAGTTAATTAATCTAGGAAAAACCACTGCGATCAAAGTGCATTCACTCATCTAATCGCACAGTATGGTCGTATGGGGTAACAGTATTGAAAAGTAATATATTTGAATGGAAAAACAGGTTAATTACTGGATCTTTGTTCATCAGATCAAGACCAAACACGTGCAACAGAAATGATGCAACCCCTGTGAATACATTGATGTGATTATGAGCAATAGATTCGTCATCCAGTTATTAATACTGTCACTGTGTTTATATCGAATAAACTTATCTAGTGTTGAATCATATTCTACTACAGTGTCCAAATTCCACTCTTATGTTAGATTTGTACATATGGAGGGAAGTAGTAAAATCGTTCCTTAGTTCTCTAAGTTGTATTTTACATACACAATAAAGTGGATTAGATCTAAAACAAAAACATTTTTACCCTTACTGTGAAAAGTTGTCTCTCAACAATAGACCCCAACTTAACTATCCTTCATCATACAGAGCCATGTGATAGACTAACTACCTTCAATCTTGCAACTTAGTCGTAGTATCGGCAAACAGTGAACAATAAGTAAAGGTTATCAGGATGGCGTTATTAATCCAAGCTATTAAAGTCGATGTTCGGGGGTGACAATTATTTATTGACAGACCATCTGTAATTTAACTTAACACGTGTCGTCGAGCCACAGAATTACTTGCACAGTGAAGCCGTTGGATGGTGAAACATACAGAGTTGCTACACGCTTTTGGTGCGCACAGACGTGGTTCAACAAGAAAAAGCAAACTGTTACTTCCAGATCTCGTTTCAGCTAAAGCTTCGCCTGTAGGATGCTGGGTTTCTTGTTATCTTGTTATTTCATAATACAACGGAAGTCAAACTATTGGTGTATACTTGTTTGTTTCGCTTATCTCCAGGGCAGACCTATGGACCTGGAAATATGTGAATGACACCTTCACTGTTTTGAAATCTGATCACATCCCTCATTTTTTCACACAAACTCAACAGTAGACAGAATCCAATTCACTCATGAGTTAGAAATGGAACAGGGTGAGTTGGCCATGCTAAACTGTGGCATAACACGAAGACAAGATGGTGGATTAGATGGTTACTAGCATTTATAGGAAACCGATACACACTCTAATGAGTACTTAGACCTTAATTCATCGCATCCAGAATCGGTAAGAATAGGTTGAATTCAATGTCTATATAACCGGACCAAGAGCTTAACTAGTAAACCGGAAGATTTAAATAATGAAATCAAACAAGTAAAGGAAGTATTCCCAGTGAATAACATACCACTCACCAGAATTTATTCAGAAATGTTTGAAAAAGCATAGAAAAATTAAGCTTAGCAATAAAAATGACGAAATAATATAGAATTTAAAGCCTTTGTAATACTGGAGGATAAAAAAGGAACATCGGAGGCCTTACTTAGGATTCTCAATGAATCTGGAATCAGTCAGGGTGGCATTTAAACCAACCAACTCTCTTAGAGATAAGCTTTGTTGGCTTAAGGAACAAACGGATCCAATTAAGAAAAACAATATAATTTACGAAATATCAATCAATTAATGACTGTATGGTCAATTACATGGGTCAAGCTAGTAGATCAGGGTCAACTACATTCTTGAAACATCAGTATTTATCTAGACCTAAAATGATGATTGACTCTGCTAAGTTAAAGAGCCTAGTAAAAGGCCCAGCCATTCACTTGCATGTAATCACACAATAGAGTGGGACAAAGTGACAGTATTATAAAGTAATATAGTTAAGTGGAGAGAGAGAGGTTAATCACTAAAGTTTTGTTTATCGATTCCACATCGCACACGTGCAATCAGAATGACGCAAAGTCGACACCTGAGATATGGAGAATGTCAACAAGCAACAAGGGGTAGAGGAGAGAGAGAAGTATATATAAGACAAATTGTGTAACCATGTGACTAAAATTCATATGATTATGCCTGGCAATAATTTACGCCCGAAACGTCATCCAGTTGTTAATACTGCATCACTCACTGTGTGATATTTAAAATAAACTTATCTAATAGGGATTAGAATGTGTAACTCACATCTGAAACTGTGAAACTTGCATATACTAATATGGAAGTACTTTTACATTTTGAATTTGTAAAGTCCCTAAAAAGATGTGCGTTTTTTTGATAAACTGAGGTGGCATGTTTAGTGTTGCCTCATCACAAAAATTCTGTAGAGAGGTACCTTACGTATAGCTTAATTTTTGTCTCTTCTTGTGGTTTATTTTAAAGCGAATCAATTTTTATGAGGTGTGATTGATATAAAAAATGTTTCATTCAATGACTAAAGTCGTTATTTCCACTTTTACAGGCAATGACTGGACCTGTATCTCGTGGTATATTCGTTGTACTGGAAGGTGCAGATCGTGTAGGGAAGACAACACAGGCGTCACTTTTGGCTAAGGCTTTATCAGAACTCACAAAGAAGGAGACATTGTCCGTTAAATTTCCTGATCGTGACACACCACTTGGAAAACAGTTAGATGCATATTTAAGTGGTGCAGGTGAAATTAATAATCATGCCCTGCATCTATTGTTCACTGCAAATAGGTGAGTTGTATATTTTGCCCCGAGGCTTTTAACCTGTTAGTGTTAACTTTTTTTCTTTCCTTCACGTTCCCAGTGGAACATAGGGCTTAAGCTAGTGGCTTCAAGTTTCTGTAGCAGTGTTTATTTTTACAGGATGGAGTTGCTAGCCTCATGCCCAACTTCTCCTCTTTATCAGCATTATTCTGGCTTGGCGAGGTAAAGGAGTGCGTCGGCCGGTCGTCGAACCCCGAACCATGTGCATAGTCGATGGGCGTCCTAACCGCTATGCCACCGACGCACAACTACTTGTCCATTATGTTACTGTTGTTTACTATATTTGACTTAATGTTTTGGTGGGTGGAACTTTTTGACCAACATGATGTATTAATTGATAGTAGATTTGAGTAGGCCCCTTACAAGTGGTATTATATAGTGAGTAATATTGAGGTTAGGCTAGAGTTCCAGGCAAGTCAATCTATGAAGTTGCGAAGCTACAATAATTGAGGTGGCTAGACCAAGTGTTACGCATACCGAGTCACCGCTTTCTTCAATGAGCAATGTTAGCCGACACAAGATTGATTTGAAAAAGAATTAAGGATGCCTAATCAATAACCTGGAATCAGTTTGTAAAGTCTTTGACCGTTGTTTTGAGCTATGTAGACTGTCTGGTAGGAGTCCTCGAGACGCTAAGATCCACTGTCTATGTGTGCCACTGCTGCAATTCTGTGGAAAGTTCTTTGTTGTTCTACTTATTTAGAATTCTCAGGTAAGTACTGATGAGATTAGATAAGGAGTATTATATAAAGAGGGTGAATTAGCACTTGTGCCTGTAAGACTTCATTGACTGAGTTTGCATAAATGTGTATAACATGAACCGAGTCACTACATTTCTCAATTTACAGCTGATATACTAGAATGTTGGGTAATCATCAATAGCACCTTTAACTTCTGACCTGCGTTGTATTGCTCACTCAGTGGTTGGAAGCATGCTGACATGCCTCAAATCTATTCATTGCTTATCGTCGAAATTCAGAACATTTTTAGCGATCATTATTACTTTCTTCTCTCTAATGGCACCCGAATTCTTCTACTATTGTATCACTGCAATATTTGTCTTTATCTTCCGTGACGTTTCAAATTGTGCTAAAATTGAAGTGATGCTTTTCTGTGTAGTGATCTTCGCCGACTCATCTGTGTGGAGCTGTCGGCCATTGGTCTAGACGCTCAATTTTCAACCAGTAGGTCGCGGGTTCGAACCCTCCTCTGCCTGTCTAAGTTTAGACAGCCATATATATTATCACTGGCTCTCACACAATGAGTCTATGTCTCAGCGCTGTTTGTTGAGTAACATTTTCATTTATTAGATGGTTGGAGGTAATCGGCAGGAAGCCTTGGACGTAGGTTTCGTGCCTGTTGGCACCATCTTATATCATCAAATCAATGTACACGGTGATAGCGAGCTACCTAGAATGGTGGCCACATCGCAAAATCTGACTGTTAGAATTCAGTCTGCACCAATGAGAGGACTAGACACATCACACATCACATCTCTAGCTTCTTGACACATATAAACTCACAAGTAGAGGGAATAAAATTCACATTTGAATCAGAAAATGAACAAGGGGGATTAGCTATCTTAGATTATAAGATGAAACGAATAGAAGGCAAACTACACACTAGTGTTTATAGAAAACCAACGAATTCTAATAGATATTTAGACTTTAATTCATTTCACCCATTCGTTATCTGTGAAGGCAGACTTAGTGAAGTGTCTAACAAACCGAGCCATACCACTAAGGAGCACAAGAAAAGACTTAAATGACGAAATAAAACAGATAGAAGAAGCGTTGGTGTTGAATAACTAACTATCCTATAAAATTCATTAGGAAGATCAGTAAAGACCAAAAACAAAATAAAAATAATTGTGGAACTAGTAATAATAACATAAATAAGAGAGAATATAAGTCATCTACTGTTATACCATATAAGGAGGGGACATCTGAGGCCCTACGTAGGATTCTTAATAAAGCAGGAATTAGGGTGGCATTCAAACCTACAAACTCACTCAGAAACAAGCTCTGTAGGTTAAAAGACCCGGTGGATCCAATTAAACAAAATAATATAATTTACAAAATACCCTACAATGACTGTGAGGTCAACTACATAGGTCAAACTAGTAGGTCAGAGATAGTCAGGTTATCAGAACATAAGAATTTAGCTAGGGGAAGAATGGTTGACCCGAAAAAGGTAAGTAATTTAGAAAAAAGCTCAGCTATTGCACTTCACGCAGTAACCAACAACCACACAATAGGGCGGTAAGAAAGGGTTAAAATTCTAAAAAGTAATATAGGTAGGTGGAGAGAGAGGTTGATTACGGAATTCTTATTCATTGAGTCTACACCCAACATATGCAACAGAAATGACTCAATGCAAATACCAGAAATATGGAAGATATTATTACCACCAGTCAGTCAAATCAGAAGAGGATAGTAAATAATCTTAAAATTCTATTTCAATTCAATTCACGTACATCATAACATTCTAACGGGTTACTTATTTTGACTATAAAAACACTCGTCTTATTTTCCAGCTGATTGTATTTGATCGATAACACTCATATTATTATTTCTGAATGTGCATTATCCCATATTGATTTTTAATCCAATATCTAATCGATTCCACACATGTATATAAATGAAGCGAAGAAGTTGTGTGAGTAGTACCTTGATAGTGATTATGATTTGTGCTTGAAACGTCATCAGTTAATATAACTGTACAACACTGTGTGATCTATCAAAATAAAATCTTATCCATAATTGAGTTATACTCTACTACAGTGCCCAAGTTTTATACTTATATCAATCACACTAGTTACTAGTACCAAATCAAAATAACAATTTCATTTTTTTGGATTCATCTGTTAGTAATTCTGTTGAATTAGATATATCTGTCTGTCTATCCGGATTCAACAGAGAACTTGGCACCAAAGTGCAGCAGTTCGAGTTGCCACGTTCCAAATAGCACAAAAACGTAGACAAGAAGATGAGTGAAGAGAATCAATAGAGTTTGACAGGTATAAGAGCGAAACAGAATGGGTAATGTTAGAAAGGAATATGAAAGATTACAGAGACTGAATACATCTGCGCTGGCCATTGACAACGATTTTGAGCCATGTCACCTGTTGTCTCCAGCCATTGATTCCTAGAGTCCCGAGGGCCCCAACCCGGAAGTCTGCATCTCCCTATCTGGTTCACTTTAACTGTCAAGGATTTCATGGATTGATGACATGTTTTTGTTCGGCCACCATTTACTCTTTTCCAACCTGCACCTATATCAGCTAGCAATGCCCGTCGGGGGAGGCGGTGGTTAGGCATGCGCAGCACGTGACCTAGCCACCTTAGTCTATGTAACTTTATAGCCTCATCGATTGATTTTCCCTCTTTGCCTGCCCAACACTACGCCTAACGTCAAGATTACTTACCTTATTAAACCACCTGACGTGAGACAGAGATCGCAGACATCTATGATCGAAAGCAGTCACTCTTTTCATGTCTTCAACTCGTATTGGTCATGTTTCAGAGCCATAGAGAAGGACGGAGCGAACTACTGAGCAGTAGACACGTCCCTTGGTTGATAACCGGATGTCACGCCTACGCCAGAGATGGTGTAAGTCGGCGAAAGCAGCTCGAGCTTTTTGGATCCGTGCTGAGATTTCGTCGCCAATCAGTGCATTGGTGCTGATACAACTTCCCAAATAGGTGAAGTGGTCAACATATTCTATCACTTCACTCCCTATCACTAAGCTAGGAGTTGACGTAGTCCAGTCCTGTAGCAGCATCTTACATTTTACAGGGTCGAATCGCATACTAAACATACGAAGGTTGCTGCTCAAGGTGTTTAGTAGACTCTGCATATATATATATATATTCCTGTGTGATTACATTGTTGTTCGTGTTTTACATTATAGATGGGAAAAACAATCGGATATTCGAAAGGCTATCGCTGATGGGATTCCTGTTGTAGCAGATAGGTATATATATTCGGGTATTGCATACACAGCTGCTAAGCCATCATCAACACCTAATTGGGAATGGTGCTGTGAAATGGAAAAAGGTCTTGTCGCGCCAGATTTAGTCATCTGCCTAACTCCAGATAATATGGATTCATTAAATTCTAGAAATGGTTACGGTAGTGAACGTTATGAAAAGGATGATTTTCAAAAACGTGTTCTCGAGAATTATGTTCGTATTTCTAAAGAAGTTCAGTTGGAGAATAATGATGAGGAGGAGAATGATTCAGTTGGCTTTTGGCATTTTGTACAAGCCACAAATAAGTCGGTGGATGAAGTACACCAGTGTATTATGTCACTTGTAAAATCAAAGCTGGAAAGTATGACTGGTCCAGAGATTCATGATTGTACGAAAGAAACTAACTGATTTGTTTTTAATTCAGCTATGTAATTTTCAACACCATTTTCCGGTATGATTCGAAATATACATACACTCTTTCTAATTAAACAATTTAGTTCTATTTGTGCGCCCTTTTTTCTTATCTCTTAGCGTTTCAAGCGTGAGTATTAGTGCTTCAGTGACGGTGGTGTTTCTAGTCCCATACTCAACCTTACTTCTTTATCGGGCTTACTATCGCCTAAGCGAGGTTTAGAACTGTGTCAACCAGGAGTCGGACGCGGACCACGTTTGGCGGCGTGGTTGGCGAAAATTCTATCGTTGGACGCTTGTATCTTGTAAATTTCATCATCCAACGATTTAGTCATAGTAGAACAATTAATAATTGTATGTGTAATGCAGATTATGCGTCAGACAGTGAGTGGGAAACGAGAAGACGGAGATATCCTGGACCGACGTGAAGAACCTAGAAGACCTGGATTTCGCGCGTTGATGATTCATGTTTGATGTCACACACAATCGAAGACTTACAAGCGAAAACCGACCGACAAACTGATCGAAGAAGCAGCAAAGACAGGACTCCAAGTGAACATAGACAAGACGGAGGTTATGAAAATAACCAACCAACAACAGTAACAACATCCAACGTCAATCAGCATTAACGGGAGGGATTTGAAAGAGGTTACTTCATTCACTTATCTAGGGAGCATTGTCTCAACTACAAGCAGTCGGAACGGACGAGGATGTCAAATAGACCGAGAATCGGGAAGGCGAGAAACATATTCATCAACCAACTGAAACCAATCTGGAAATCTTCGTCACTCAACTCAGCATCAACAACAAAATCCAGTCGGATTTTCAATACAAACAACGTCAAGTCAGTTCTTCTATACGGATCAGAAACTTGGCGGGTGGGTCACAAAGAATATTTCCAAAAGGCTGCAGACCTTTATTAACAACTGTCTTCGCTGTATACTGAAGATCAGATGGCCGGAAAGAATCACCAACAAGGAATTATGAGAACAAACAAAGCAAGAACCAACCGCCCAACAAATATGCAGGAGAAAGTGGAGATGGATCGGACACTCGCTGAGAAGATCGCTGGGTGACATCGCGCGCCAAGCCCTCGAGTGGAACCCGAAAGGGAAGCGGCGTGTGGGACGTCCAAGGGTGACATGGAGGAGATCGTGTGAAGAGGAGTTGAAAGAATATGGATTAACATGGATGCAAGTGAAAAGTATAGCAGAAGACAGAAGACAGCAAGTGGAGACGTGCAGTTGAAGCCCTATATTCCACTAGGAACCCAAGGGAGCAATAATAATAATAATAAGAATTATGGCGAGAAATGGCTAAAAATGATAGCGTACCAAGATGACGTAACGCCAGTTATTGAACTCATTGATTAATTCATGCAGTGTAGAGGTATCAGTCTATTTGTGTGCATTTATGAAGTTTTAGGACCCAAATAGCTGATCATATCTACCAGAATGATTGCAGTGGTGCAGACCTATTCATATCTTATCCTCGTCATAGCTGTAGCATCGCATTCTATGATTCTGTTCACTCCTTCCGTTACACTGTGTCTTATCTTAATATCCAAATATCAGGTGTACTGACATGGATCTTAACATCAGAAAAAGGCAATTCTCATCACCCATAAAAAGTTATTTAAGGTGAAGAGATCTCAGTTTAGCAGTCATGTATGTATAAGCCAGTAGCTATGTAAATCTTATTATGTACTGAAAGTAACATAGAATAAGTTCACCACTGTCTATTGCAGAAATTTTGCTTAGTGAAGTGTGGTATTTTACTTGTAATCCATTATTTAAAAGCCATTTTTGTAGTACTGTTGTAACAACAGAAGACAAGGACCAGGCAACAGATCGTTTATTAAGGAAATCGACACATATTTATAGATTTTTATGTACATTATTAAAGATTATTGTTAGCAGACAAACACAGTCTTCTGATTGGTGGTTGTTTCTCACTAATATTTCAGCTAATCTTTCATCTCTTTGTGGCTGTTTCTTGAATGTCACATCGTCTATATGCTAATTGTATCCGCCTACACAAAGTCTGTTGTGGTTGGTTGTTGAATCAGTCTTTCTTCTTATTTTTCTCACGACCAATATTGGGGACGTAAACATTGACGTAAATTACTGTCTACCAATTTGGCCAAGTTTCTGATCCGTATAGAAGAACTGACTGACTTGACGTTGTTTGTATTGAAAATCCGACTGGATTTTGTTGTTGATGCTGAGTTGAGTGACGAAGATTTCCAGATTGATTTCAGGCTGATGAATGTGTTTCTCGCCTTCCCGATTCTCGCTCGATTTGACATCCTCGTCCGTTCCGACTGCTTGTAGTTGAGTCAATGCTCCCTAGATGAGATGACGACAATTGTCTGACGAATGTGATGTTAGAGGATCTTATCATGAGCTGACATCGGTTAGAGAACTATTGGAAAACCAGCTGGGAGCACTGGACAGCTGTTTCGTACTGGTCAGGAACTCTTCACTAGCACGCAACCACCGCGATTAGAACCCAGGACCTTCAGTCACAAGGCGAGCTCGTAGATTATTAGGCCATTGGGACGCGATCCAAGGACACACTAATTCCAACTTCTGCCAATTAACGACATGGCGCCACCATTAGCTAATGCCATCGGTGAGTATTTGTCCTCACACCCGACCTGCTGTACTCCACTGGTCACGACTTCTCATCAGAACTCAGGTAACCAGCTACGTGATCCATATATTCAAGTGTTTCTTTGCAGGGATTTGATTGGTTACAGGATTTCGTCGTGAGCTGACATCGGTGATGTATTTGCGTAACAAATTCTGAGCACTCTGGTCATACACTCTTTTGTCAATTTATGTGGGAACGAAGGGTCAGTTGAAGTAGGCTGACTCTTTACCAGGGGAAAGTCTGCCATGATTTTAAAAAAAACCAAGTCTTCGTAAAAGACATTTCTAGTTTTTCAGACTATCAGCCACTCCCCGCTTGAAACCTTATGACATTTGACAGTATAGATAGGTCGAAGATCAGTCGGGGTCGAAACTTGCTACTAGTAGATTGAAAGTCAAGCACTCAAGTATAGGAGTTCTGACATGTGTGTAAAGTTTTCGTAAGATATCGTAGTTTTACTATTTCAGTTCAGAATTCGTGCATAAACCCTAGTAAGTATTGGGCATGCCATACGTCCATTTGACAGGCAACAACTGCATAAACTAATTCCATAAAGTTTTTCTACGTCTTTTGTGAACTAACTACTTTCGATGCATGATTGATAGCACTCACTGTTTCTTTGGTTTAGATTTGCATTTCTCGTTGTGTTGATTCGGAATGTGCCCAGTCTCTGCCCACATAACGGCTAGTACATACGGACGCTTCGACAAGACTTAATGACTAAGGTGAATGATAGCTTTGCCACGGGGATTCGAATCCTGCACACTCAATGTTTCAGATATCAAATGGATAATGCTTTGGCAGAGCTTGAGTCTCAGAAGACAAAGCACTATCTATCATCCACTCAGAAGACGAGTCTCCCTAGTGAGACCAAACGTACAATCTTGGATTCCACTACTAGTTACCACCAACTAAAATAACTTCACTACTTTGTTCTACCTTAATTGATAAGGTTATTGCATAAAAGCTGTTAGGCGACTTTGTCGTGATTCTCTACCAAGTTGTGAGAAACTCCATCCGCATAACAATGCGGCACAAGTCGTCACATAACTGTTATTATATTATAAACTGGGTTTTTCACCACGCAATTGGTCAAGGTGGTCTTTCTCTGTCTGGATTCAGCATAGAACTTGGCACCGAAGTGCACCAGTTCGAGTTGCCACGTTCCAAATAGCACACAAAGGTAGACAAGAAGATGAGTGAAGAGAATCAATACAGTTTGACAGGTATAAGAGCGAAACAGAATGGGTAATGTTAGAAAGGAATATGAAAGATTACAGAGACTGAATACATCTGCGCTGGCCACTGACAACGACTTTGAGCCATGTCATCTATTGTCTCCAGTCATTGATTCCTAGAGTCAAGGTGGACATAACGAAAATAATTTTAGGCTTCTTACATTCATTTTCTTAAATAATAATTTGTTTTTTTTGAGGTTACTAAACCTTCATTTTAAACGTAAATTCCTTTGGGGATACAATTAAACACACACACACACACCCTCACCCACCAACATAGCTTACTTCTCCTTATCTAGTAAATGTTGTCCAGGAATTCTGCTGGAAAAGAAAGTAATATGCAATTCTCTAACCTACAAATCACATAATTTATCTGAACATTTATTAATTTTCAAAGTCACATAACCATTTATTTTAGTGATGAAACGTTATCCCAAAGGTAAGGATCTGACGTTAAATGCTCCTATATGAAGTTGGTGACGTGGCTTTAAAAGGCTGTCTGGGGTGTTTCCTATGGCTTTCACCGTTGTTTGTGGTCACAGAGTGAAGTGAAGATGACTCACCAGCCTGCAGAATAGTACTAACTGTAGTAGAGAAGCAAGATGAGGAAGGTGATGTGAGTAAAGGGGAGTGATGCTCAGGAAGGCTTCGTGTGCTTTTGGAAGTGTGTGGGCGGTTGTTACTTCCCGGCTGCCTATATCGTGGAAGTTGATTAATTCTTCGGCTATCTGAAACATTTTGAGGGTTAGTGTTGCGTGACCGCTGAGCCCAAGAGACAACTGCTCGAGGCCGGTCACACACGGTCTGTATGAATTAGTTTCTGGGATTGGTTCCGTATTAGTAAACTTACCGCCGGTTCCCGGATCACTGTAGGGTAAGTCGGGATGTACAATTTTTGGGGTCGACGTTTTCTTACCCGCTCTTTCCAGAGTGGTAAGGATATACCGGTGAAACCTGAATGAAAACACCCATGTTTACAATCGATCCGATCAATCCTTCGAAGCAACTTATTTGAAACAGCATACAATTCAGGGTGCCAACTTCATCCAAAATAACGTCGTAGAACTTGTGTTGTAATGCTTTCATCAAGCTATCCTTGTATGCACACTCAAACTGCAAATGCATTTCTTAAATCCACACGTTACTATTCTTTCCCCTGTACAGTTCTTTTAAGTATTTTTTGTTTTTTCTACCTTCGTGTACTTCATGGAGTGTAGTGACCTGAACTGTGTACTTCTACGTTGGAAATCGGCCAGTTTTCTAGACATCTTTTGATGGATTTAGTTGTTGGGACAATGAACTTCAGCGTTTTTAGCTGAAGAAACTACAACGCTTTGTGTTTTGTGCAAAGAACAAAAATAGGAATTGCACAAAATAGTGGAATGATTTCTAAGCACATCAACTAGCGTTTAACAGTAACTGTGATTATTTATGGATAGCAACTTTCTTGTTCATGCACTTTAGATGACACCATTACAGAGAGAGGAGTTAGACATTTCTTAGCAGGTTACTTCTATATTACGTAAAGATAGTGTTCATGTTTGGAATATACGTGATCATAAATAATATTACACCACTTATTAGACGGTTGAAGGCAATCAACAGGAAGCCTTGTCTGATCCAGGTTTCGTGCTAGTCGGCATTCACCAGTCAGCAAGGTGTATCATATCTGCAACCTTGAAGGAACTCATGTCCCTTGCGTCAAACAATGCTGCAGTCAGAGACATTACCACTGAGTTATTCGGGTTTGCAACTAACCACCTCCTGTAGGGGGCTGTATTGGATACTAGTTGGTAACTGGTGTAGTTTGTGTCTAGTCCTACCTTTGGTGCAAGGCTGAATTCTATCAGTCAAGTTTACAATATGGCTAACATGCCACTAGGTGGCTCGCCATCATGGTGCACACTTTGAAATGTTGATATTAGATGGTTGGAGGCAATCGGCTACAGGAAGCCTTCCCGAGACCTAGATTTCGTGCTAGTTGGCACTCAACAGTCAGCAAGGCCTATCGTATCTGCAACCTTGAATTTAGTCTGCATCAAAACAAAAGAATAGACATACATTACATTAGTCACTAACTAGTATCCATTCAAGAATTAAACCACTTAATAACACCCTTACTGGCCGCAATGTACACCAAATAATTATTATTAGTTCAAAAAAAGCCCCCAGAGAGTACAACAAAAGAAGTAACAACGATAAAATGATAAGTAAATTTTCAAGTGAAAGAAGAAATACAGATCGAGGATATAGTACTGTACAGAATTCACATCAATCAGTCAGTATTTATGGTTTCCAAAGCTTTAACAAACCGTCTTCTGCATATGTTGCTATTAAATTTTGATGAGGATGATGACAGCAACCAATGATACTTTTATCGTGAACCTAGAAAAAAAGTATGAAAAACAACAAAAAGCATGATAATACATAAACATAAACAAATGAATTTCATCAGACTGAAAGAATTCACATCTTAATGACTAAGTCCTAATGTGTTTCATTAAAACCTCGACGTTTGGACATAAGAGATAAGGACTAAAGCTGCCAAAAACATTCATATTATTATTATTATTATATCCTTTAATTCCTAGAAAAACATAGGGCTTCAGCTACGCATCTCCATTGCCTTCAGTTTTCTGCCAACTTTTTCACCCCGCTCCAAGTCTGCTCACATGCTTTCATCTCCCCTTCACATGATCTCCTCCAAATCACTCTGCACTGACGACCAACTCGCCGCCTCCCTTTCGGGTTCCACTCGAGCAATGGTTTGTCTAATGATTTCACTTGATGGTTTGTTTCCTCAGAGTATAGCCAATCCATCTCTTTTCTTTTTCTTTACAGCTTGATTCCACACTGTATTTTCGGTACAAGTATGGAATTTTCAGCATGGATATCGGTAGCCCAAATTTTGCAGGCCGACCATAGATATCAGGTATGCGTCGGGAGGGGATCGAACCTCGAACCATGTGCATGGTCGGCGAGATTCCTAACCACTGTGCCACCGACGCACACATTTCTTCCTGCCTATTTGTTTCACAATCGGTTCCTGCTGGGTTGGTTCGCTCATTGCCAGAGATCCCTGTTGCTGATCTTTTCTGACTGGCCATCTGATCTTGAGTATTGAGCGAAGACAACTGTTAATGAGGGTCTGAAGTTTATTTGAGATGCTCTTTATGACGCGCTAGCCAAGTCTCTGATCCGTATAGTGAGTAGCACTGACTGACTTCACATTGGAGTTGAAGATCCGGATCTTATTCTCATTTTCATGCTTAGTGCTGTTGACCTCCACACAGACTTGAGAGTAATCAAAGCTTGTCTTGCTTTTCCGATTCTGGCTTTGATATCCTCGTCATTTCCGTTCGCCTGTAGTTGAAACGATGCTTCCCAGGTAGGCAAAGGGGGTTGTTTTTTTCAGGTTCCTGTGCGTCGGCGGCACAGTGGTTAGGACTCTCACCGACCATGCACATGATCCGAGGTTCGATCCCCTGCCGACGCACACCTGATATCTATGGTCGGCCTGCAAAATTTGGGCTACCGATATCCATGCTGAAAATTCCATACTAGTACCGAAAATACAGTGTGGAATCAAGCTGTAATCAGAAATAAAACAGAAATTTATGCTGATTGTTGTCTGTTGCTGTTGGCCAGGAATCTTCATCACCTCTGTTTTATCTATGTTTACCTGTAGTCCTATTTTTGATGCCTCTTCTGCCAGCTTGTTGCTTTTCACTTGCATATCTTCCAGTTTGTGGGGAATCAGACATATATCATCGGCGAAGTCCAGATCCTCCAAGTTTTTTGTGTGAGTCCATTTTACGCATGTTTCCTTATTGCGCGTTGCCAAAAACATTAAACGGAGAGAATATTGTTAGACGAGATAGGATTAAGTTGGGAAAACTGTTATTATTATTCCATTGGGTTCCGAGTGGAAGACGAAGGGCTTCAACAAAACTTCTCCAACTTGTTCTACTTTCTGCTATCCTTTCCAGCTGGCTCCACGATTGACAATAGTCGCTCACCCCCTCCTTGCCACACGATTTCCTCCAATGTCACCGTCGCACCAACGACCACCCGTCGCTTTCCACTCGAACAATGGCCTAGCGCGCAATGTCATTCAACAGTTTCCTCAACGTATGCCCGATGGCATCCATCTCCATTTTCTGCTACATATTTGTTGAGTGATCACCTCATGCTTGTTGGTTTGTTACCAGACAGCGGTTTCTTATTGCTAATTCTTTCTAGCCGGACGGTCATATGATCTTCAGTTGACCAAAGGGCGGGTGTACTGCTCATCAGTCCGCTCCGTCCTCCTTTATGGTTGTGAGACCTGGCCACTGAGAGTGGAAGACATGAAAAGACTAGCTGTCTTTGATCATAGTTGCCTCCGCTCTATTTCCCGTGTAAAGTGGCATAATAAGGTGAGCAACATTGAGGTTAGGCGTAGAGTTCTAGGTAAACAGGGGAAATCAATCGACGAAGTCGTGAAGCTACAAAGACTGAGATGGTTAGGACATGTGTTACGTATGCCAAGCCATCGCCTCCCTCGACGAGCTATGTTAGCGGATATAGGGTCAGGCTGGAAAAAAGCTAGCGGCGGTCAAACAAAAACTTGGCATCAGTCAGTGAAATCTACAACAGTTGGTCTAAGCCACGTAGGAAGGTGTAGACTTCCGGGCTGGGGTCCTCGGGACGGTAAAAATCTATGGTTGGAAACAATTGGTGACATGGCTCAAACTCATCGTTCTGAGTGGCGCAGATGCATCCACTCCCTGTGACTTATGATCTCCAATGAAACTGTTTTGTTTTTCTTTATTACTCCTTTGTCTCACACCTCTGCTCCCAGTTTCTATTATGCTTTTCTTGTACTTTCTTCTCTTGCTTCGCGTGCTACACGGAATGTGGCGACTTGAACTTCCGCACATTTGTGCAAAGTTCTATGTCGAAAACAGACAGACATGATCTTCAGTGTGGAGCCAGAGAAGGCAGTTGTTGATAAAAGTCTGCAACAAGCTTTTGGAAATGCTTTTCGTTACACGCAGTAAAAGTTTCTGACGCGTATAGAAGCATTGACTTGACATTGGTGTTGAAAATACAAATCTTGTTTTTTATGCTGAGAGTGAGGGGATGCAGAAGATTTCCAAACTGGACTGGTTTCAGGTTGATGAAGGCGTATCTTGCCTTTCCGATTCCTCACACGTTTTGACGTCTGCATCCGTTCTGTCTGTCTGGATTCAACATAGAACTTGGCACCGAAGTGCAGCAGTTCGAGTTGCCACCTTCCAAATAGCACACAGAGGTAGACAAGAAGATGGGTGAAGAGAATTAATAGAGTTTGACAAATATAAGAGTGAAACAGAATGGGTAATGGTAGAAAGGAATATGAAAGATTACAGAGATTGAATACATCTGCGCCATTGACTGTCTATGGTCGAAACAATGCTTCCTAGATGAGTGAATGAAGTAACCTCTGTTAAATCTCTACTGTTGATGGTGATTGGTGCTGTTTGTTGGTTATCTTTACCACCTCCATCTTCTCTATGTTAGGGGGGAGTCAAACTAAAGCCTGAAATAAATCCATATAGTTTTCGACTGTTGGTTTAAGCCGCTTGGGAGAGGTGTAGATTAATTAACTGGTTGGGATCTTCAGGTTGCTACGATTCAAATACTTCAGATTATTAGTGGGATGCATATGGCTAAAAATCTTAACAAAAGGCTGGGAGTGTACAAACGTGAATTATGATCTCATCCAAAATTTAATAATAGTGATAAATTACACATACACAGTTAAACTATGCAGTCCATTGAAAATTCATAATTTATGTTTGTTAGAGCTTACAGGCGTCTTCTTTGTTAGCTGAGGACGTCATCGTTTAATGCATGTAATAACATGAAAAGCCTACTGGACAGTTTGTAATTGTGTATTTATGACTTGATTTTTTCTTGAGGTTAAGGCCAGGTAACAACAAATCAGATTTGTTTTGTTTGTGGCTTAAATTTCTGAGCGTTTGTGAATGTAATTAGTATACCATGTATTTTGTCTAACAAAGGTTGTTGCAGTTGTTGTTGTCGTCATGGAGGTCATCGTTTTCCTCAGTCTGACTTTTGTCTGTTCTAGTGTGGTGGGATATATATATATTTCCAAGTGATCAGTTCTGAAGGTGGATTCTAGTCAAGTTAGACAAGTCTATATATAACCCAGTATCAATCCATCATAACAAATATACGCATACTTTGTCGCTTTATTTGATGGCTTTTATTGACACAATTGGGTTTTTTGATGATGACGCCACTACTGGAGAACGTGTGGAAAGAGAGCAAAGTACCCGAGGATTAGAAGAAAGGATACTTATTCAAACTACCAAAGAAAGGAGACTTAAGTCAATGCAAAAACTGGTGTGGAATTATGCTTCTGTCCATCCCAAGTAAAATACTAAGTCGCATCATCCTGGAGAGAATCAAACAAGCCCTGGGTGAAAAACTTGGACCGGAACAGGCTGGAGTCAGGAGAAACAGGTCATGTATTGATCATCATTGAGCAAAGCTTGGAATGGCACTCACTTCTCTATCTCAACTTCATCGACTTTGAAAAGGCCTTCGACAGCATCGATCGAGAGGTGATTTGGCAACTTCTTCGCTACTACGGGGTCCCATCGACAACTATACATCTCATCCAACAGTTATACGACAATTCTGCATGACAAGTAATCCACAACGGGAAACTTACGGAAGCCTTCGAAGTGATGACGGGAGTGAGGCAAGGCTGTCTACTATCACCAATGATCTTCTTGATTGCAGTAGATTGGATAATGCGACAGACAGACAACGGGCAATGAGGAAACATGCATAAAATGAACTCACACAAAAGACTTGGAGGATCTGGACTTCGCCGATGATATGTCTGATTCCCCACAAACTGGAAGATATGCAAGTGAAAAGCAACAAGTTGGCCATTGAAGAAACATCAAAGATAGGACTTCAAGTGAACATAGATAAAACAGAGCTGATGAAGATTCCCGGCCAACACCACCAACAACAACAGACAACAATCAGCCAGCATAAATGGGATGAACCTGAAAGAAACAACCTCCTTTACCTACCTGGGAAGCATCGTTTCAACTACAGGCGAACGGAAATGACGAGGATATCAAAGCCAGAATCGGAAAAGCAAGACAAGCTTTGATTACTCTCAAGTCTGTGTGGAGGTCAACAGCACTAAGCATGAAAATGAGAATAAAATCCGGATCTTCAACTCCAATGTGAAGTCAGTCAGTGCTACTCACTATACGGATCAGAGACTTGGCTAGCACGTCATAAAGAGCATCTCAAACAAACTTCAGACCCTCATTAACAGTTGTCTTCGCTCAATACTCAAGATCAGTTGGTCGTCGGTGCAAGGGTGACTTGGAGGAGATCATGTGAAGGGGAGATGAAAACATGTGAGCAGACTTGGAGCGGGGTGAAAAAGTTGGCAGAAAATCGAAGGCAATGGAGACTCGCAGCTGAAGCCCTATGTTCCTCTAGGAATTAAAGGATACAATAATAATAATAATAATTGACACAATTGCACAGATAAGTACAGCATTTTTAAGATAAACATCATAGGCAACTAACTAAACGAAACTAACTGACCAACTTACATGCAATGTTTGCTCTAGTTTACCACCGTTTAATACACTGAAACAATACAATGATTGATCTTCAGCAACACAATATATCCATTCACCTCGTCCACTCAGTATACATTCAACAAATTCACCACCTTCACGTTTACCGTTTGTAAAACTTTGTACAACCTGGAAAATGAAAAAAAGAAACAAACAAAATTCTTTGTTTAAGTTAATTTGTTGTGGTCGCCTATGATTGATTTATATTGGAATAAAATGTTTGCTTTCTGTTGATTATGTTGGCTCTTAGTACGGACGCTCCGATAATGTCTGTGGATTAATGGATAGTGACTAGCAGTAGAATGCTGGGTGGACACTTCGCCCTGTTTGGAACTTGTCACCTGAGTGATCCTATTGCCATTGAAACTGAAACCCAGCACGCTAGTGTTATCCACTAAGCCACAATGGCTGATAGGTTCGTTTTCCAGTTGTATAACACCATCACATAAAGTGAGGATTGCAGATGCGACCATACTGAGTCCCACGCAGGGCAAAATGTACACATACCCTCAATTGCACTGCTAGTCACCATACATCAAATCTGTCTGCGCCAGCCATTGAGAACGAATCGCATGCCAAACATTCGTAGATTGCAATTCAGAGCGTTCAGAAGACTCTGCGTTTTGTCAGCGTCCTCGTCTAGAAGGACTATATAATCTGCATATTCTAAGTCAACGAAATTATATCCTGGTAACAAACGAATCTCTGAGTCGCCGAAGTCACTTGGGATTAATTCCATTAGTACATCTGTGATGAAATTGAATAGAAACTGGGATGGTTGGCATACCTGTCGGACACCACTAGTTGTCACCACCACTTTAGACGACAACTCGCCGTAAGCCCTCACTTAACTGCATGAGTTCGAGTAGTGCGTTGATCAGTGCAATGTATTTTCTCAGCACTTCTTTAACAGCCAAACATCATCAGAGTGCCTCTCGGTCGACAGAATCGAATTCTGCCTTTAGGTCAAGAAATATAATGATTGTTGGACGCCGGTAAGAATGCCTACGTTCTAGAATCTATCAACGAGTGAAGATACGATCAGTACACCCTCTTCCTGATCTAAAGCCTGCCTGGTTCTCTCGTGTTTGTGGCTTCCAAGCACCACTTAGTCTACACAATATTCTTGAGCCTAGGACATTAGATACTATATTAGTCAAGCTAATCCCTCTGTGATTATCACAGGAAGACTTGACTCCCTTACACCAACCCGATGGGACTTCCTCTGATTCCTGGACACTGCCTATTACCTTAGTTAACGCAGAGAGTAAACTGTCTCCACCGTACTTAAATAACTCTGGAGTCATTTCATCGGGTCCTGCTGCTTTGCCCCGTTTCAAACTAGTAACAGCTTTAGCAACCTCAGTAAGGCACGGAGGATCTGTGTTTATATCCCATTCAGGTAGGTGTTGGAATGGGATACAGAAATCATCTAATGCTCTAAAATCAAAGGATTCAACAGCTTTTTTTAAACAAAGCATTCCTCCATAGAAAGCGATTTTCGTACTGTACTTAAGTTATTGCTGACGATTAATCACAGCTTTAATTAATTTCTGTTCAGACGTCGAAGTGCATACAATATATAGTCCCAAAACAGGTTATAAGGTAATGAGTGGCCCATAAGATTAGCGACAAAATATCATGTGAGTATCTAAGGCCATTCGAAAACCATCATTCAATCAACACGACGTACACACCAATCTGTGTTCACACTGACACCTGGCAATTATAAGATTTTCAAGTGTGGTGAGGATCATAGATATCTGAATGATTATTTCACTTGACATTTGATTAATATTTGTGAAGACATCTAGTAATCAGAGAGTACTGAATAGCTGTTACATTCTATTTTCGGTCCCTTTGTGGAATGTTCTACTGACAAGGTTTATAAGTAGTATATAGGTGTAAATATATCAGGTAGGCTGATTTAATGAACGATGCTTGTGAAATAACATGGGAAAAATGAAAAGAAGACAAAGAAGCACAATACCGAAGACATGTTCGAATTTTGATTCTAATACGTGGTAGACATATTCTGCCCGTACCTGTGTGTATGGAGTGGTGTCTCAGTGGACCACATAGTTAACGTTGTTGTCGATAGGCATTTGACTTCGTGCAATAAATTTTCTAGTGGGATTTTGTCTGACTTGGAGTATCCACTCTACCCTCAGCTTTCACCTTGCATCTGTTCAGGTAGAACGAAGGGTAACTTCAGAAAACTGTATGCTCGCACGTCTAAGTATAAAAATTTTATGATACCATGCTTGGCACGTATTTTATGTGATAGTGAAAATAGTGTCAGGCAAGAATTAACTAACCTTTTTTCATCTAGTAAATAAACAATTTCCTCCATCCATTATTATATACCTTCAAGTTTTACTTTTATTATTTCTATTATATTTATGGTCACGTTGTTTCATGGTTTGTTTTACTCTCATAACTGCCAGCACCAACTTATCTCTATGAGTGCTGTTATCTTTGTTTTTCCCCTCACCATATCATGTAAAGAGAGAACACTATATTCAATATTTTTAAACATGCTAGGATGTCTATACCTCATTGACAATACTGTGTGAAACAAGCCCACGGCGATTTTCACTTGTATTATTAGTTTTATTACCTTAGCTGTTATCATTATTATTATTGTTTCCATTTTATATGCTGCATGTTTTTGACGTTACCCCTATTGTAAATGCGGAAGATTTTCTGTGTAATTAATTATTATTATTAATTTGAAGAAATCAGATGCAATATTGTGATAAATGCTGAAAATTCCAATGTGTATCATAAGTACTGTTTTTGGAATAAAGTAAATTATTATTATTAATCCCGTTGTCATTTGGAGTTATACCTTTAGAAATGAAGTGACAGTTCTATTCGGAGTGGAATCCAGGACAGTAAGATCACATCAAGAAACATACTGCCAATCAAAGCGTGTATTTCATAACTTTACTCTATTTGTCAATGTAGACAGGTGCTATCAACCAATGTCAACTCACCTCAGTAGTCAGTAAAATTGGAAAAATATTGAATATGAAATTTTACTCAACAACTACTTGCATCTTCTATGTAATTGGTAATGAGCTTATGGTACTACTGGACAGTCCATACCTCGGTAAGCGGAGCGCCACAGCTCAACAGTAAGACTGAAATCAGACAAACATAATTTAGCCTGGCGTCAAAAACAGTTTTTGAAACTAATCGATCGGTTGAATCTCGATCAGATATCATGCAAACCACTCAAAGGGAGAGTTTGTGACAAGCTCATATCGACTTCAAATCAAAGGGAAAATAAATCTAAGGCATAGAATTAGTTTGAAAAAAAACGTGCGTTTCTTTAATAAGTATAAAACTGATTAGAAGAGATCCTCATGAACACCATCAGTGGTGGGCAAATGGCTTACCTGGCCTTGAATATTCATGACAGCAACTGTATTAGAACGACTTCCAACAAGAAAATGATCTGGATCTTGGGGAAATAGATGAATGGAATGAATAGCCACTTCACGACCAAGTAAACTGGAAACAGTCTGTCACGAGTTTTCAAAAAAAAGAAAGGCAAGCCCATTAGCATTACGTGATAAACTGTTAAGTAAATGATGATTACATTCTTTTTTATTTGAAGATTAGTATCGATTGAAATATGTGAGTTAAGAATTTTAAAGGATGACTGATGAGTAAAAATATATGCTGCTAGATAGAGCAGTATATTGTTATTATTCGTCCCTTGGTTACCGAGTGGAACATAAGTCTTTAGAGTTACATCTTTATTGCACTTGGTACTCAATCATCACTTTCAACTGACCTTACAAGACTGCTCAAGAGCTTTCATGTCTCATCTCACATGATCTCATCAATGTTACCCTTAGACATCCAACTCTCATTGCTTCTCCGTTCGAGTCCCAACTCAGGCGCCTGGTGCATCTCCTAAATTTATTTTTATTTTTTTTAATATTTTTGATTAGAGCTTGATTCCACACCTTATTTTTGGTACGAGTATGGAATTTTCAGCGTGTGATATCGGTAGCCCAAAGTTTGCAGGCCGACCATAGATATCAGGTATGAGCCAGCAGAGGATCGAACTCCGGACTATGTGCAATGATGGGCGAGAGTCCTAACCATTGTGCCACCGACGCACGTTCTAAACCATTTGAATATTTGTTGGGTATTAAATTATTGATTGGTTCATCGGCAGAATTCCTTATTGTTATCAGTTGGTTGGAGGCAATTGGCAGTAAGCCTCTGGACCTAGTTTTCATGGCTTGTTGGTACAACAGTTGTGAGTGCACGGTGATAGTGAACAGCCTAGCATGGTGGGGCAACATAGCACACTCGACTGACAGAATTCAGTCTACAGCATAAACAAAGGACTGGCTGCATAACATTAGTTAGTGTCCAATCAAAGAGTTTCTTATTTGCTTATCACTTCACAGGTCATCCAGTTTTCTGCATCGAGAGTAGTGGGCAGATATTTATAGAAGTCTGAGGCCTGCTGGGAATGGTTTTGGTGACATGTGTACTAAATCTCGGATCCTGTTCTTCATGTGGTGACTCATAATTTCATATCCCGGTCGATAACTGCTACCTTGTCGTGGTGGTCGGGCTTGAATACCGTAATGACCCAACAAGCTGAACTGACTGGGACTCTGTCCCTGTAGGTCCTGCCATGTCAGGAAGGTTCTTTGGATAGCGGTTAAACTACAAGCAGTTACCATGGGGTACGTGGGCTCCAGTATCCAATCGGATCAAATGGCGTATGAACCCATATGGGTCACCGGCCACCATGGGAATGCAGCTCCTGACGCTGCTCCGCTGCCTTGCGGATTAGAATTCAAGTCAAAGACTCGGGGAGTGGTCCCTTAAACAAAACTACCTGCTTCGGTCTGGGCGCCCGGCCAGTATCTCAGCCCTCACACAATGAATTGAATAAAGCAACAAACAATCAGTGAAACTTATCACGTGCTATTACACGTGTTGCAGTTTCCTTCTTTCTTCCCTTCCCGGTGATAGTTAACGAATACTGTTTGAACTTGTTAAGCATGACTGTTTTCCTTCCAGATGAAGTTCTTTATCCGTTCTCTACTTATATATATTTCTTCTTTTCCTTCCTTTTTTTTGATCTATGTTGTTTTATTATTGTTGTGTGGCGCATCCTTCTTGGTGCCATATTGTACCAAGATTTTATGCGTTTAAATAAATAATGAATAAATAATAATTTCAAATGAAACTATATTGCTCTTCGCTATTACTATTCCTTTGTCTCACACCTCTGTTTACTGTCTCTATTATGCATTTCTTCTACTTTCTTCTCTTGCTTTGTGTGCTGCATGGAGTGTGGCGACTCGAAGTGTCGCACATCGGTGCAAAGTTCTATGTCAAAAACAGACAGACAGACAGACAGACAGACAGTTCATCATGCTGTAGATGCCCATACTGATTCCAGCGTAATAAACACACCCCTCGTGCTTTCCTAGTTCTATATTCAGAGGTATTACCACTAATCTATTCTCAATCATATATTTAATTAATTTGATACTACTATCCTTACAGAGAATTTACAAGACTACAATTTGCAAGATAAATATTTTAAAACAGGGCACAATTTAGGATAACAAAAAACCACCAAAAGTTCATCATTTTATTTCTTAGCATTAAGTTTTAAACATGGGGACAGACACAACAATATCTTGTTTCAAGTTTAACTAGGGATTGATATAAGTTAGGGAGCACCACTGAAAACCAGCTAACTGTCTTGTCCTAGTTCGGGACTCCTTATCAGAGGTACGCACCCACCTGGGTTCGAACGTCGGACCTTCCAATTACAAGGCAAGCTCGTAGAACATTTAGCCACTGGGACACAACTTAATGACACATAAGTTCTAACGTCTACAAATTTGTGGTTTTAGCGCAAACACCAACATACATCCACCAGTAACACCTCACGCATTACACATGTCAGATATGATTATTGAATGAGGTAGACGTGACGAAGCCAGCCGTCTTTGACCATAGGTATTTGCGTTCTGTCTATTATCTTAATTGGCATAACATAGCGAGTAATAGTGAAGTTGGACATAGAGTGTTAGATAAGAAGGGCGAGTTTACCGATGAGGTTTTGAAGCTACATCGAATAAAGTTGCTGGGATACGGCGTATTATGCAATCGGAGAAACCACCTCCAATGAGTGATGTCAGCTGACAAAGGATTAGATTAGAAAAGAGTTAGGAAGTAGTCAAAGCAAAACAAGGATGAAATAGCTGTCCAGTAATCTCCAGTTTTCAATAGTTCTCTAACTGACACTAATCCGTCATTACACTTGAAACAAAATATAATAATGATAATAATAATAATGACTTACCTTGAAACTATTTATACATTCACCACTACGATATGACCATATTCGTACAGATCCATCTGAACTACCACTAAGGAAATGATCACCATCTGGTAAGAAGACAAGACAATTGACAACTCCAGTATGACCAGTAAATTCACGTAACATTTTACCAGATTTAATTGCATAAGTTCTATAATCGTGAAACGAAAGAAAAAGGCATGTAAATAGCTATCAATGAATGCTGAAGGTGTGATGGATGAAATCTCCAGTTGTATAGTGAAAACTAGGGTAGCATACGCTAATTTGAGCCACCTCCAGAGCTATCGTGAAGTCAGCTTGACTGTCAACGGTCGGTTGTACAATGCTTCAGTGAGTGGAGTCTTGTTCTACACCTGTGATGCATAGCCTCTCCGAGCAGAGGATGTGCAGCAACTCTGCGTATTTGATTGCCACCGTCTCCGTAGAATTAATTGAGTCCGATGGCATCATTGTGTGAGTAATTCTGAAGGCCGGCAGGGTATGTTTGGACACAGTGGAGGTCATCATTCATCAACTGGTGTCGTCAGCTGGAAACACCAGTTTCGGTGGCTTGGACATCTGCTACGAATGTCGTCCCAGAGACTTTCGTATCAATCTGTGTTCGCTAGCCCTCGATTGAAAAACCGGAGAGGTCGTCAGCCCATGACGTGGTGCCGTGAAACAGATATTTGTGTTAGGTTAACATCAGTTTGAACTATCCGGTTGGGGTTCAAAGGTATCATATATGGCCAAAAATAGCAGTCAATGGGGAACATGTTTTGTGGATGACATCCTACATTCATACTCTCCCGATTTTCTCTATATATAGTTGTTTAATCCATCTCTTGATGCTCATATTATGCCAAGTTTGTATTTTTCAAGCACCAGACACTTATTGTATCGTGGCTGGGGATATTAGCTGAAGTTGGTGAAGGGATACTCCAACCCTTGACCCTTCTGCTGGAAACCGAGTGCTTAGGCCAATGAGCCACATATCCACTAATGAATCAATTAAGCCCTTTTCACGCGTAATACATTATTCAGTATTTTGGGCAGTTATCTACTCCTTAGTGATATTGTAAGTACGCACCTACCTACTACTTATGCTACGAAACAGTCAATTGCATTTCCATTCAGTCGGCAGTGATCCATACTTTGTGTCAGGAGTATTTAAGCCTCGATAAATGGAGGAGAGTTAAAATCGCATTACATTAACCAGTGGTTAAAAATTTCAGCACTTAGACCAGTGAGTTACATTGTGGTGACAGCTGGTTGCTAGCCAAATTGGTAGACAGTAATTTACGTCAATGTTTACGTCCCCAATATTGGTCGTGAGAAAAATAAGAAGAAAGACTGATTCAACAACCAACCACAACAGACTTTGTGTAGGCGGATACAATTAGCATATAGACGATGTGACATTCAAGAAACAGCCACAAAGAGATGAAAGATTAGCTGAAATATTAGTGAGAAACAACCACCAATCAGAAGACTGTGTTTGTCTGCTAACAATAATCTTTAATAATGTACATAAAAATCTATAAATATGTGTCGATTTCCTTAATAAACGATCTGTTGCCTGGTCCTTGTCTTCTGTTGTTACAACAGTACTACAAAAATGGCTTTTAAATAATGAATTACAAGTAGAATACCACACTTCACTAAGCAAAATTTCTGCAATAGACAGTGGTGAACTTATTCTATGTTACTTTCAGTACATAATAAGATTTACATAGCTACTGGCTTATACATACATGACTGCTAAACTGAGATCTCTTCACCTTAAATAACTTTTTATGGGTGATGAGAATTGCCTTTTTCTGATGTTAAGATCCATGTCAGTACACCTGATATTTGGATATTAAGATAAGACACAGTGTAAAGGAAGGAGTGAACAGAATCATAGAATGCGATGCTACAGCTATGACGAGGATAAGATATGAATAGGTCTGCACCACTGCAATCATTCTGGTAGATATGATCAGCTATTTAGGTCCTAAAACTTCATAAATGCACACAAATAGACTGATACCTCTACACTGCATGAATTAATCAATGAGTTCAATAACTGGCGTTACGTCATCTTGGTACGCTACCATTTTTAGCCATTTCTCGCCATAATTCTACTTCATTAAAATTATAGATTGGGACGAATAACAGGTGAGCACAAATGCAGCATGCCACACCACCTCAGTTTTTAATGTTTTCGGTGTTTATCAGTAGACTCATCAAACTATGTAATAGAGTTGGAGCATATTCATATTTTAATCGTCTAAGCAATGCATGTAAACATAAAACATAAGCATAAAAAGAAATTGGTTCAGTCTATCCTTTATAGCCATGAGATGTGACCATTTAATGCAGAAGATACGAAAAGGTTGATTGCCTTTGAACACAGACGGTTGCGTTCTATCTCCAATGTTAAGTGGTATAATATAATAAACATTATTGACGTTAGATGTAGAGTTTGTCCGTCTGTTTTCGACATAGAACTTTGCACATATATGCGGCAGTTCAAGTCGCCACACTCCCTCCATGTAGCACACAAAGCAAGAGGAGAAAGTAGAAGAAATGCATAATAGAGACAGCAAACAGAGGTGTGAGACAAAGGAATAGTAGTAACGAAGAACAAAACAGTTTCATTGGAAATCATAAGTCACAAGGAGTGGATGCATCTGCGCCAGCCATCATTGAGAACGATTTTTAGCCATATCACCAATTGTTTCCAACCATCGGTTTTTACCGTCCCGAGGACCCCAACCAGGAAGTCTACACCTTCCTACGTGGCGTAGACTAACTGTTGTAGATTTCATTGACCGGTGACATGTTTGGGTTTGACCGCCGTTAGCTCTTTTCCAGCCTGACCCTATATCAGCTAACATTTCCCATCGGTCTAGGAAGGCGATGACTAGGCATACGTAACACATGTCCTAACCATCTCTCTCAGTCGATGTAATTTCACAGCCTCGTCGATTGATTTCCCCTCCCACCTACCTAGCACTCGACCGACGCCTAACCTCAATATTGCTCATCTTATTATACCACTTCATCACACGGGAGATAGAGCGCAGGCACCTATGATCAAAGACAGCTAATCTCTTCATGTGTCCCACTCTCAATGGCCAGGTGTCACAGCCATAAAGAAGTACGGAGAGAACTGCTGCGCTGAGCAGTACACCAACCCTTTAGTCGATAGTTGGATATCACTTCATAGAGTATTAGTTAATAACGGCAATTCCATCATTGAGATCTTGAACATGTGGAGAAACTGCTTTACCTGACGTGTAATGCCAGCAGACCTAGGGTTACGTTGAAAAAGAATTATAGGTGGGCAAGCTGAAACATGGCATATCAATCTTCAAAGTCTTTAACAACTGTTTCGAGCCTGTCACTCGGGGGAGTGTGACAACTTGAAGTGCTATTTTTCTGCGCAAATTTCTATATTAAAATTTAATCAACTATATATATATATATATATATATATAACACCTCTTACCTGATTAAATGATCAAAACTACCAGTCAACACAGCTGTATTGTCTCTAGAAAATTGAATAGCAGTCACTCCTTTTTGATGGGCTTTTTCTATTTTACGAATACACTGTCCATACTGAATACGCCATATTTTCACTAGGCCATCGCTTGAACCAGCTGCTAGGATTTCTGAATCACGACTAAATGCAAGACATAGTACACTGCTTTCTAACATCATAAATGTATCCTGGAGACGGGGGGTATAAGAAAAAATTATTAAATATATTTATATGGATGGTTTGTGAGTTGTATTTCTCTTAATATGTATCTCACAATAATCTAACACCAATCAGAGAAGGAGTGGATGGTTTTAAACAGTTATTCGAGGTAAATTAATTTCACAATTTGCAAACTGGTTAACAATTTGCAATCCAAACAGTTCGAGTAGTACGTAACTACTTATCTCAATTCATCAGTAGAATGCAGTTATTCGAGGCGAGGACGATGACAAAATGCAGAGTCTTCTGAACACCTTGAGCAGCAATCTTCGTATGTTTGGCATGCGATTCGCTCCCGCCAAATGCAGGACTGGACTACACCGACTCCTAGATTAGAAATAGGGGGTGAAGTGGTAGAGCACGTTGATCGCTTCACTTATTTGGAAAGTACCATCAGCCCACAACAGGTTGATCTCTGATGAAATCTCAGCACAGACAGAGAGAGCTAGTTTCGCATATGCCAGTTTACGCTGTCTCTAGCGTGGATGTGATATCCGACTATCGACCAAAGGGCGGGTGTACTGCTCATCAATCCGCTCCGTCCTCCTTTATGGCTGTGAGCGAAACCTGGCCATTGAGAGTGGGAGACATGAAAAGATTAGCTGTCTTTGATCATAGGTGCCTGCGCTCTATCTCCCGTGTGATGAAGTGGTATAATAAGATGAGCAATATTGAGGTTAGGCGTCGGTCGAGTGCTAGGTAGGTGGGAGGGGAAATCAATCGACGAGGCTGTGAAATTACATCGACTGAGATGTGTTACGCATGCATGCTTAACCATCCCCTTCCTCGACTGACGGGCAATGTTAGCTGATATAGGGTCAGGCTGGAAAAGAGCTAACGGCGGTCAAACCCAAACATGTCACCAGTCAATGAAATCTACAACAGTTAGTCTACGCCACGTAGGAAGGTGTAGACTTCCTGGTTGGGGTCCTCGGGACGGTAAAAACCGATGGTTGGAAACAATTGGTGATATGGCTAAAAATCGTTCTCAATGATGGCTGGCGCAGATGCATCCACTCCTTGTGACTTATGATTTCCAATGAAACTGTTTTGTTCTTCGTTACTACTATTCCTTTGTCTCACACCTCTGTTTGCTGTCTCTATTATGCATTTCTTCTACTTTCTCCTCTTGCTTTGTGTGCTACATGGAGGGAGTGTGGCGACCTGAACTGCCGCATATATGTGCAAAGTTCTATGTCGAAAACAGACAGACAGACAGTTATTTGAGGCCCTTAAAACGTGTATACCTATGACCACAAGATATATATATATATATACTCTAAAAAGAGGACATTGCTATTTATTTCTAGGCTTAAAATCCACATACATTGATTCATCCATCTATTATGCATACGCTTAAACTGCAATCCTAATTCTTAATTTAAAAAACTGTGATCACAATAAACAATAAAATTGTACCCTATGAAATTTATCATCGACACTGCATTTATGGTCACATAAACTAGAAGAGTCAGTCAATGGACTCTGATATAGTGGTTAAATTGTAGCATAACAGACTTGGATTCCGGTTTCACATGAAGATGCAAGTTCATACACTACACAGAAGTTTCAAGCAACTATTCAGTATTTAAAACAAGCAATAAAGGTTAATAAAGCAGGATTTAATGAATTCATCAAATTTCGGTAGAACTCGTCAGCTGAATACTCTACATACACGGATATATATACTTTTGAAATTACATTGGGAGATATGAGACTGTTAAATAAACTACATTGAATTAGTCATGCAGAAAGACACGTGCGAATGCTTTACAGGTCATGTTCAAATAGATAAGGCGAGAGAGAGAGAGAGTATGAGAGATCAAAATTAAGATAAATTGCATTACGCTTCAATTACATCACTTAGATAAACAATTAGTCACTAGGGAATATAAGGAGAATTGCAAACAGACTAATATCAATAGTAATAGTTATAATAACAATAACAGTAATAATAGTGTTGAAGTGAGTTAAGATAATCTTACGGATAAAGCATAGATTTAAATGAATCAAGAATAATAATAATGATAGTAATAATAACAATAATAAGAAGAAGAGGTAGAATAATAGTAATAACAAGTAGAGAATAATAAGTAAAACGTATTACCATGGTAGATTCAGAGTGACGACCATCTCCTTTTGTATACAGAGAGCTGGTTTATAAGTTCGAATTGCACAAGCCTCTGAAATTGCAAGTATCTTCTTGTTTCTTTGTTTGCTGACTGACAATAGTGAATGACTTGACCGCGTCGATATCATGTCCGTAATCCACAAGATGTTTTGTTATTGAGGATTTTGGCACTTTGCGCTTTGCCAAAATGGTTGAAAACAGGTGAGTGCAAAGTGCCAAAATCCTCAATAACAAAACATCTTGTGGATTACGGACATGATATCGACGCGGTCGAGTCATTCACCATTGTCAGCAAACAAAGAAACAAGAAGATACTTGCAATTGCAGAGGCTTGTGCAATTCGAACTTATAAACCAGCTCTCTGTATACAAAAGGAGATGGTCGTCACTCTGAATCTACCATGGTAATACGTTTTACTTATTATTCTCTACTTGTTATTACTACTATTCTACCTCTTCTTGTTATTATTGTTTTTATTCTTGATTTATTTAAAACTATGCTTTATCCGTAAGATTATCTTAACTCACTTCAACACTATTAAAATTGTTATTATAACTATTACTATTGATATTAGTCTGTTTACAATTCTCGTTATATTTCCTAATGACTAATTGTTTATCTAAGTGATGTAATTGAAGCGTAATGCAATTTATCTTAATTTTGATCTCTCATACTCTCTCTCTCTCTCGCCTTATCTATTTGAACATGACCTGTAAAGCATTCGCACGTGTCTTTCTGCATGACTAATTCAATGTAGTTTATTTAACAGTCTCATATCTCCCAATGTAATTTCAAAAGTATATATATCCGTGTATGTAGAGTATTCAGCTGACGAGTTCTACCGAAATTTGATGAATTCATTAAATCCTTCTTTATTAACCTTTATTGCTTGTTTTAAATTCGTATCGGGAAATGAATGTTTTCAACTATTCAGTACTTTACAGTTTCCAGTGATCTCCTTATTGATGTCTACTTGTAACAATAACTTTCATCTCTAAACAAGATAATGTAATTACTATGATTAATATGAACTTGAAGATCAGTGATGCAAAACTTTATTCACTAGCCAACTAACTGAATAGACTTAAAATAAAGGCAAAATGAAGACAATCATTAAACTAGCCCAACCACATTGGGTGGACGTAGGAAAATTCAGTGAAGAAAAGCACCATAAACTAATCGCATTTTCATGCATTAGGTAGGTAGTGTATAATGTCTGGTGATGAAAACTCCACATAGGTGAAGCGTGATTCAAATCTCCAAAACAATCAAGTGCTTAATACCAATGAGTCTAGTACTCTTTTTTCCTCTTCATACGGCTACAAGCTTGAGCATTAAAGTTCCAATGGCGGTGACTTTCTAGAGGGCGGGGGGGGGGGAGGTAATTAACTGCACGGCGAAACTTCTCTCTTTGCCGGGCTTACTATTGACTAAACAAGGTTTAGGAGTGCGTCGGCCTGGAAACAAGTCCGGATCACATATGGAGTGGTTAGTGAGTATTCTACGATTGAACTACTCATGCACGAGTCAAGTATTATCACTAGGAAGTTTCAACAAACAATAAAACTAATTCAAATCAGCATAAAAATTAACGCAACATACCTGTGCTTGATACTTTAGATCTTTTCTCAATTTACCAGTTATAAAATTCCATACTTCAATAAAACCATCCAACGATCCAGAAACTAGAAACTGTCCATCTGGACTGAATTTTGCACACTCCACATGGCATTTTTGACCAACCTATATGTTGTAAAGGATGAAAAGATTTTATGAGACAACTTTTCATACTATGAGTTAATTATTACACTCACTCTGAAGGACATAATTATTTTTTTATTTTTGATTACAGCTTGATTCCACACTGTATTTTTTGTACAAGTATGGAATTTTCAGCATGGATATCGGTAGCCCAAATTTTGCAGGCCGACCATAGATATCAGGTGTGCGTCGGCAGGGGATCGAACCTCGGACCATGTGCATGGTCGGCGAGAGTCCTAACCACTGTGCCACCGACGCAGTGGAATCTCAGAGACACTGAAAGAATTTCAACGTTTCGTTTGGCAAACTGGTCCTAACTCTAGGGAAATACAGTTGATAGCAGCAATGAATGAAGCTCTGATGAAACTATAAAATGTAGTCATTCTTCAAATACCCATGTCTGACACACGCAAACACACAAGTACACAGAGAAAAGCTATAGCCTCCAAAGCCTCAGGATGGTCGGGGGTGGGTGCCTTGCGCTGCGGGTTGGCCACCCCTCCGCACACCTCCTGAAATGCTCCCATATGACCGGGCGTCTTACATAGCCTCTCCTGAGGAAGTCCTACTCACTGCCTTCACGTGGCGGAGGTGTTTCTCACCAAAGTGAGAGGGCGAAAGCGGATGCCCGGCGCTCTCCACCGGGTTGACTGTCCATTGGATGACAGTCTAGGGGAGATGGCTAAACCCTGATTCCAAACCTCCAACGACTGGCGTATGAAGCTCACTGGAGCTCACCGGCAGACGTATGGACAAAGGGCTTGTTGGATGTCCTGGATGTCTGGCCCCATTCAAAAAGGCGTATGAACCGAACTCCGGTCACCGGCTTCCAATGGATAGTGGACTCCTTACTCCACTCCTACTGCCTTGTAGGTCACACTTGGCTGTGTAAAGGCTAGAGCTGCACTCTCAAACAAAAGGCCGAGCGATGCTGGGGACATCACTCGTACCCGATTCCCATGAAACTACATGAACTCTCTTACAAATTGCCGCGCCTGGGCAGCGATGATTCGAGACGTTCATGAAGCCGGCTCATCCTCCCGTAGGAGATAGCCGAAGTAAAGTAAGTAAGTAAGAAAAGCTATACTCACTGTACAAACAACATACCTATTACTTCTATAGAAGTATCACCTTCCGAGGACGCTAACCGCAGCAACTGCGAACCACGTGTTAGTCGCATGTGATATTTGCAGATCACGGCGAGTTGTTCCAAGTCAACCACGTAGGTGACTGTAGTTGTCAGGATTCTAAGAACCAATGGTCGAAGACTATTGTTGATATGGATCAAAATCTTTCTCAATGACTAATATGCATGCATTCACTCTTTGTAATCTTCGAAATGCACTATATCCTCATGATTTCACATGTTACTATTCTTTCTCCCGCACATTTCTGCTTGTTACAATACTTTTGAATGCCTTTTTTCTTTAATTTTATGTACCACATGATGTTGCACCTTGAACTGATGCATTTTTGTGTAAATTTCTGTATTGAAACTCACTCGCTAAGTGAGCGCTAACAAATTAATGACATCAGTCGTCCTGAAAACTAATGCTGGAGATAATCTTCACAAACCCAGAGATCATGCTGTCAAATGAATCCATAAAAAACTGCTTGACAAAATATGAATAAGTGTAACCGTTGAGGTTTGATTACAAGAATAGTATTCAGAAACTGATGCATTTTTCAGAAATCAGTTATGCCTTACAAGACAAGCTTTCACTACTTTTAAGTCTGTGTGGAGGTCAACAGAACTCAGCATCAAAAATAAGATCCGGATTTTCGAATCCAATGTGAAGTCAGTGCTACTATACGGATAAGAGACTTGGCCAGCGCGTCATAAAGAGCATCTCAAAAAAACTTCAGACCCTCATTAACAGTTGTCTTCGCTCAACACTCAAGATCAGATGGCCAGTCAGAAAAGATCAGCAAAAGGGATCTCTGGCAATGAGCGAACCAACCCAGCAGGAACCGATTGTGAAACAAATAGGCAGGAAGAAATGGAGATGGATTGGCCATACTCTGAGGAAACAAACCATCAAGTGACATCACTAGACAAGCCATCGCTCGAGTGGAACCCGAAAGGGAAGTGGCGAGTTGGTCGTCAGTGCAAGGGTGACTTGGAGGAGGTCATGTGAAGAGGAAATGAAAGCATGTGGGCAGACTTGGAGCGGGGTGAAAAAGTTGGCAGAAAACCGAAGGCAATGGAGACGCGTGGCTGAAGCCCCATGTTCCTCTAGGAATTAAAGGGTATAATAATATAAATAATAATAATGTCTTACATTATATTATCGAACAAAAATCTACATATTTCTAATGTCAAAGAGTACAAAATAAGATAAAAGTTTATGCAGAAGAAACACTACAACTTACTCTGATAGTCACAGAGACTGTAGCGGGTGGCTTTTCATCTTCTAGTTCTTTTAAAGCTGCCTTACCCCGGAAGACATCAATAGCTGTACCAGGAGGAAGTAAGCCTTGATGCTGTTGCCATTTCAAAGCTTGACTTAACAGTGCTCGAAGACGTGAAGGTGCGACAACATTAACTTCTCCGGAGAGTGAAGCAGCTATAGCTTGACGACGCTTTTCTTTGGACTGTCCCTCTAAATATGCCTAAAATATGGCTTCTAAAAACAACAATTGAGTTACTTCACGTGGGTCAAAGTAGGATCGCGCCAACAAGTTTTCCAAGTGTGCATGCCTTTCAGGATAAGCTTGTTTCAAAGCTATCATAGGATCAGTTTGACGTAGAAGAGTCCGAGCAGCTCCTAATTCACGTAACTCTACTAGTTCTATCACAATCTGTAAGAAGATAGTATTGTGTGCGAGGATTTACATACCTGTTCGTAGAGATCCATAAGTTTATGATCAGGAAGTTTCAGATTCTGTACAACCTGCAGTACAGTATCCCAATGACCACTGGTGATTTCAGTCATAAATCCTTCAACTGAATCAACTGTATTAAGCGATATTCCAGTCTCTTCCTAAACAAAAAGCAAAAACAAAGTTTAAAGAAACTCATACAACACTAGTTTAAATATTTGTCTGGTTTCAACATAGAACTTTGCACGGCACAGGTGTGCAGCAGTTCGAGTCACGACGAATGGCTTAATTATTTGTGTAAGGGTGAAATAAAAGCACGATAAATGTATTCAGTAAAAATATGACTCATACTAAAACTTTCAAACTAAGGTAAAGCCACGTATGACATGGCTTGAAACTGTTCTCATTGGAGATGCAGTTGCTCTTTTTAATCTTCAAAATGCAATCAGCTCTCATTATTTTACATGGAATGATTATTTTTCACATTATCGTTTGTTACAGTTTACTTAAATTTTTTCTTCTACCTTTGTGCGTATTTTGTGAAGTGCGGAAACTCGAACCATCGCACTTTTGTGCAAAATTACTCGTTCAAATATAGCTCAGTACAGGTACAGAAATGAGTCGGTTTATGTTCCAGCACTTTACACATACAGACAGAGGAACTGTCTGTCTGTCTGTTTTCGACATAGAACTTTGCACATATATGCAGCAGTTCAAGTCGCCACACTCCCTCCATGTAGCACACAAAGCAAGAGGAGAAAGTAGAAGAAATGCATAATAGAGACAGCAAACAGAGGTGTGAGACAAAGGAATAGTAGTAACGAAGAACAAAACAGTTTCATTGGAAATCATAAGTCACAAGGAGTGGATGCATCTGCGCCAGCCATCATTGAGAACGATTTTTAGCCATATCACCAATTGTTTCCAACCATCGGTTTTTACCGTCCCGAGGACCCCAACCAGGAAGTCTACACCTTCCTACGTGGCGTAGACTAACTGTTGTAGATTTCATTGACTGGTGACATGTTTGGGTTTGACCGCCGTTAGCTCTTTTCCAGCCTGACCCTATATCAGCTAACATTGCCCGTCAGTCGAGGAAGGGGATGGTTAAGCATGCATGCGTAACACATCTCAGTCGATGTAATTTCACAGCCTCGTCGATTGATTTCCCCTCCCACCTACCTAGCACTCGACCGACGCCTAACCTCAATATTGCTCATCTTATTATACCACTTCATCACACGGGAGATAGAGCGCAGGCACCTATGATCAAAGACAGCTAATCTTTTCATGTTTTCCGCTCTGAATGACCAGGTGTCACAGCCATAAAAAAGTACGGAGCGAACTGCTGCGCTGAGCAGTACACCCACCCTTTAGTCGATAGTCGGATATCACGTCTACTAAGCGAGAGACAGCGTAAAGTGGCATATGCGAAACTAGCCCTCTGTGTCTGTGCTGAGATTACGTCAGAGATCAACCCGTTGTGTGCTGATGGTACTTCCCAAATAAGTGAAGCGATCAACGTGCTCTACCACTAACTTCCTATTTTTAATCTACTCGAGTGTATCTTGTGAAGTATGGCGACTCGAAATACTGCACTTTTGTGCAAAATTCCGCATTCAAACCTAGAACAGTACAAGTATAAAAAAGAGTTGGTTTAAGTTGCCAGCACTTTTATAAAGGGTTGATACATCTGTGCTATTGTGAACGGTGTTAAGTTGAATAATGCAGTTACCAAATGATTTTTAACACTTATAAATCTTCATAAGACAATCTACAATTTCCTGCATGATTCTGACCTAAAATCTGAAATTTTATGTAGTGAGGCCGTAATTTTTTGTGACCACCCATAGTTTTTACAAATGTAATTATACTCAGACTAAAACTGTCCACATGGAAAGTTGTAGGCTAGAAATGTGTACTAATTTTGCAAGTCGCCTTTGTCCGCTGAAGTTCATTACATAATTCTGCTTTCTTTACTCAGTAATGTATATCTATTACACTGTGACAGTACAATGTGAGCTATGCTACAAAGACATGTGAACTCAAAAACTCATAGTATGCTTATTTCCTTCCCATAGACCAACAGTATACGAATTGTTTGTTAGACTATACAGCTGAACTCTAATTCATGAGTACGGACTTTAAATAAGATCTGATTTACTTTATCTTAAAGACTATCTATCAAATAGTGAGCGTTCTGATAAGTTTACTTCGTGACTGTGGTCTATGGGCACCTACGTTAAAAGATAAAAGACTAAAGGTTTTTGATCCCAGTTCTCTTGAGAGCACTGCTTACGTAGCGTAAGACCACAGTCAGTTTTGTCGAGATAAGCTACAGATTGTTACATAGATAAGTCAGTTAGTCAAGTAAAATTGGCATCGAATACTGGCTGAAACGCGCTTCTTGCACGCTGATAAATCGCTATCCTTGGCGAGGAACGTTAGCTGAAGTAGGACAACTTTGAAAACAGTAAGATTGGTCAGACCAAAACATAGCACCAATCTATGAAGACCTAAGCAATTGATCTGATGCACACATGAAAGTAAGTGTTGCTTGGTCGAGGTCTCTGAAATGCTGAGAATAATAGTCTTGAATTTTTTCTTAACTCAGGACATGATTCAGAGATGAATTAACAGCCAAGTGGACATTCGTACACATGTTCAGTTCTCTTATGATAACTGACAGACTTCTTAGTTGCTGTGGTGTATTCTGGACCACGTTATTGAAAGCTTTCAACCAATCAAAGAACAAATTTGTTCACTGTTGTGATATTTGATGTTTTATTTTTGAATGCCATCTTGAACTGTGACAGAGAGGAATAATCAAGTGTGAATTAGGGTTTTAATTTGGTCTGTCAGTGGTAAGTCGAAGACAATGAGTTAGTTGTAAGTGGTCACAGTTGCTAGATAACCGGTTACAACAGACACGTACGACTGGAGATTTACATTCCACTGTGAACGCACAAAATGACTAATATCGACAATAATTTGAACTTTGTCATAGAAAATTACATGTCGGAATATTGAAAAAATTACGAATGAAACTAAGCCAGTATATGTGTATTTACAAGTTCGGGATTGCCTTAAAGTATAGCTTACCTGCAGAACCTGAAGAGACTTTACTAAATTACATTCTTTAAGGTATTGTTCAATTAATCTAACAACGCTGAAACAAATAAGCCATCTAACATAATCGACATTACTCGGCCGACTCAATCTCAATAGCCATTTTTACGAAACGCGCGCCAACAAGTGTCCAATCTCCAATTGCATTTTCACAAGGTGGTGTTTGAGCTCCTTTCTTGGTCGTATTGTGAAGCTTCCTGATCTTCAGCAACCTTCTGTGTGGTTTATTCCGCCTATCGACTGATGTGGCTTGGCTTGACACTGAGGGGAATAGTGCGGAAAGTTCTTATCGACGAGTCCAGAGATGGAGTTCACAAGCAATGTCACAATTACAACGACGATCTCTATCCCAACAGCGTTCCCGTATGTCTTCTAGGGACAGTAATACATTTTGGTAACATAGTTAGCTCGAACGTCATGCCCTGAAATGTGTCAAACCGCTCATCTTTAGTGAAGATAATCAGGCAGGGAAATGTCTCAGCCAGACAGTGATGGCAACAGATGTTACTGGCAAGCAAACAAGTCGCCTTTTCTGTGCGAAGGACAAAATTTCAGATACTCTATTCGTGGCACACACAGGAGCAGAAGTTAGCGTGATCCCCCTTCACTATCCAGGCGATCTACTCGGACACCAGGAAAACTCTCCGGGCAGCCAAGCACACAAGCATACAGACGTATGGTGAACAATCTCTTATAGTGGATCTAAGCTTACATCGGCGTCTTACGTGGATTTTCATAATAGCCTACGTGGATCATGCCATACTCGAGGCTGATTTGTTACGTAATTTCAATCTTAGTTGATGTCAACAATAAAAAACTGATTGATAACAACAGCCAAATAAAGATTCATGGAATTATCCCCAATTACTCTGTCTGTAATATCAGCATCGAAATACCAGAGGATTGCACTTTTTCCGTCCTACTCCATCGTTTCTCTAAAATACTTAAGCCATCGTATAACATCTAGGACGTACCTCATACAGTCACTCACAAGATTGCTACCACGGGTCAACCGGTTCTTGCTCGTCCTCGTAGATTACCCCTGACAAAATAGTAGCAGCCAAGGCAGAATTCGAACACATGAGGCAGCTCGGCATCATCAGAGCCTCCAATAGTCTTTGGTCTTCACCTTTGCACGTGTTGCCTAAAGCTAAGTATGCTGGAGGCTATGAGGGGATTATCGACATTTAAACAACGCCACAGTTCCGGAACGCTATCCGAATCCCCACCTACACTCCATTAGGCAAACTTTTTCACCATAAAATATTGCACTCTTTGGAACCAACTACCACCTGAAATAAGATGTTGTGAAAACCCCGATGGGTTCAAACGGAGCCTAGAAAGACACTTTAACACGTCCACCCTAGCTCGTATAAAAGACCACAAGTGTTGGTAGAACGGAAATTGAAGGCCAGTCCAGTCTTCAATATAGTCACATACGTATATCTCGACTCTAATACTTACGCAGCGAACGTTAACTAATTTACTGATTTCTATTCTCTATCATTTTCACTTAGTTTTGTTGGTAAAAGTAACACTGGAAATAATTATGATAGCATCCACACCTTTTAACATTTTACATATGTATATACTAATATAATAATACTTATTAATCATGCATGTTCAATTCTTAAAATTAGATTGTTATTAAAATACTTAAAATGATTAAAATATTTATGCATCAAATGTTCTCTTGCTTTACCACGCTTGTTTCCCTTATAACACTCAATTATTGAGCCTAGTGTATTATTTGATATACGAATTATATTATCGATTATACTCTTATCATATATGGTTTGATTTACTCTACGGCTCCCTGTAGACTAACTACCATTCTTCAGTATACACACACTGCAGTATTGTTAACCAAATGCCAAAATTTTGTTGGTTCTGTGTTAATATCTTTTTATAATATGTCTAGACACGTTACTTTGCAATGTCAGATGTTTACTATATATAAGTACACTAAGTCCTGCCAACCGACCTTACCTTCAGTTCATACTACCTATATTGAACCCTAACTATAGTGTTCTACTGAATCTTGCTCCACTATTCACAATACCTATTCGTTTTACTCTTTAAGTTTTTAACTTTTTATAAAGTAATCTGTTCATTAGGATGCATGCACACATATATAATATGTTCATAAAGATGTACATGGAGACCTATTGGAAGCGCTCATTAATAAAGCTAGGGAGATGGAATATGAGGTACGAACATGTCTGGTACCAAGCAATATATTTGCGGTAGCCATAATAATCATAGTCTCAGAGCCTAACATCAAAAAAGGAGGGAGGGTGGTGGTAGCTGATCAGTAGATATGGTGGGAGTCACTAAGGTGAATCACCCCATTCTGCAGGAACAGCAATATGCAATTTGAAGGCTCGAGATTTTTCTGATTTTTATGAGGGCTTAGATCTTTATCTTGAAAAAGATAATGATGAACGCCTTGACAGATCATGCTTCTGCCTTTAAATATATACCATTCGCCCAGCCTATTGTTGAGATGCGACCACGCGGGATCTGCACAGATTTATGGGGCATCTTATAAATTAACTTGCTATCCATTGTCAGATCTTTAAATACCACTTCACAATGTCTTATCTCACTCATTTTCTAATAACGTCTTTACTTGATCCTCATTATATTCCATTAAAGCTAACATTTTATAGCCCTTTGTGAATTTGATTCGACATAATTCTATTCCTATTCTTTGTAGGGTACGGTTGTGCACCAAATAGACAAAAAGGCATGAAATAAAAACAACTGGCTTGAAAATAATTGTATTAAAGCCAAAAGTGGACATCATGATAGTACGAGGTATATTGGTATTATTATACATTGCAAATGAACGTTGTCTGCCTAAGGATTAATTACTTCCCCATTCTGTTTTCTACATAAATGTGTTTATTAATGATATATTGCACTCACTTAATTTATTACACTTTAATGATTCACATTAGCACTTTAACTTTTATAAAACAGCTTCCAATCCCTTGTAAACGTTGTACTTACCTCAATATTGGTTGGTTATCGTATGCCTACAACCCCGGAAAATAGATATTGGCAGTTTTTTATTGGCTGTTGGCTAGCTGGCTTTCTATTGGTCTAAAATATAAATTAAAGCGCTAATCTCTTTATTCTGACATGAAAATTTACAGTCAGTAAAATTTCGGGCTCACCTTACCATAATATAATGGCGTGTTAATTTTTTGGTGTGAGTGTAGTGTGACAGTCACACGCTATTTGGATGCATTGCTGATGTTTAAAGTGTATTGAGATGTATGAGAATGTCTGGAAAGTGAATATTAATCAAAAATAATTTTAATGCATTTATTTTAAGTCCAAAATTGGATGTTTGCAATATTGGTTACTAGGAGAATATAATTCAACTACCATTTCTATAAATTTAATGTGTCCTGAATTATTACATGTAGAAATATGTATGTAGTAACTAATCTACTTTTTTAAGTTGTTACTTCAATGATTTGTGGGAATTGTGCGTATTACGTCACCATAAATGAAGTAAATTGACAAGGTCATGGCCAGTGGTATATAAGCACTGAAATATATACTAGTGTTTATTTACGCTAGTCCAAGCTTAATGTGTCCTGTGAGGGATGGAACAGAGCGGATAAGCAAACCCAGTCGGTTCGATTTACTTTCAATCATGATAAGAAACCAGCTCTTAGTTTTAATCTCAAACAATGGCAGAACGGTTAGGCAGTTTACTTATTGAATAAGGTTACTAGATTAGAAAAGTATAATTTATTTGGCTGAATCATTGCAGGTTCACAATAACCCTTGACTACCAACAAAAAAACTGGGAACTTCAAGCTAAAAATAACCTTAATAGTAGCATCCAGTGACATAAACTGATCTACACACTGCAAAATGGGAAAAACATGCAAAAAACCGTTAAAATTCAATGGAAATCGAATTCACAGAAACATGTTTACGTCAACGACGGGCGCTTGGTTATGCACATTACCAGCCGACAAAGAAACCCATCACGACCTTGAAACTGACTGTAACAACATTCCCAAACACAGTGTCATCCAACCAGTCAAGCAATGATCTGAAACAGAGAGCAAAGCGCACGTTAGCAGTGTGATCACACAAGTGTCGCGTGCTAGTATGAACGAAGACTCAAGGTCAAGTATTATATTTACAACCAATCGCAATACAATTGGATAAGAGGGAAGGGCACTCCTATTGGTCATCCGTTGCCTCGTCTTGGGTAACCAATCCCTGCATACTTCGCAGCCAACCTGAAAGTAGACAAGCATAGTTTGAACATTAGAAAACCGCCAAACTTACCATGCCTTACACTGCCCCCTCTCCCATAGGAGCACTGTCCGCAGTGCTAGGTGACTGTTCCTGCGGGACTTGTCTGAACTAAGGCCTGTTGTCGAAAAGGTTTTAGTCTATTGAAGTGTGTGAATAGACTATGAGAGGAATTCGGTTCCTGAATCCTACAGGTGCAGTCACTTAGTACCTCTACTACAGTGAATGGTCCTTCCCAGCGTTTATGGAATTTAAGAGCTTTCCCTTTAGGTGGTGCCTCCTTAAGTAGCATCACCTTGTCTCCTGGCTCCACTGGTGATCCATGTGCTTTCCTATCATAGTATTCTTTCTGGTACCTCTGGTTTGTTTGGAGTATATCCCTAGTCATCTGATGTACCTTGTTCAGGTTTCGTCGAAGTCTGATTACGTGTTCGGATGCAATCAGTGTATCCTCTCCTAGTGTGTTTGAAGTCAGATCGATTGGCAACCGGAGTTCTCTTCCAGTGACCATATAATGAGGCGTTTGACGCGTAGCTTTGTGAATGCTTGCTCTGTATGCCATTAAGCACTGTGAGAGTGATCGGTCCCATTCCCTGGGGTTGTTTTGATCTACAAATGCCTGCAAGAGGGATTTAAGTGTCCGATTGGTGCGTTCAACCAAGCCATTTCCCTGTGGGTGGTACGCGGTAGTGCGTGTCTTCCGGATACCCATTATACGACAGAGTTCGCTGACAACGATACTTTCAAAGTTGGATCCTCGATCTGAATGCAGTTGAAGTGGTGCCCCCCAACGGCTGACCCAGTGGTCAAAAATTG